GATTTCTCGAGACCAATCATCAATATTTATATATATATATATATATATATATATATATATATATATATATATATATATATATATATATATATATATATACTCATACTCATCATTATCTGAAAACTCCGAGCCAGACGACAAGTCCGGTGAAATGATAAGAACTTGAATGATTCTTCTTAACTTATATATATATATATATATATATATATATATATACTCATACTCATCATTATCTGAAAACTCCGAGCCATACGACAAGTCCGGTGAAATGATAAGAACTTGAATGATTCTTCTTAACATAATAACATGGTATATCCAGCTATCTTCCACAGTAAACAGCAGCAATATCCACACTCACAGCCATGCTCGCAAACCTGGACATAGGGTCGTAAAGGAGCAGTAGGTTGTCCAGCAGCTCTATTAGCGACTGAGTAGTCCCTTTTAGGGAACATAATGTGTACGTCCATGACATCAAGATGGTCCTGGAAAACGTGCACAAGAGAATTTCTGCTCAACCCTTCCTTATCCAGACTATTGCAGATGGAGAGGACCATATGCAACTACATTTAATAAGATCACATCTATCTCACTAAAAATAGTTGCTTAGAATGAGCCCAATCTTCAAAACATAGAGAAGGTGGATAGACCGCAGAGGAGAAGAGCCCTTAAATGAAATGAACTAGTCAGGTACCAGGTACAAGTGAGATCAGGCTTACAGGAAAGAGCGGACTAAGTAAGGGGGGGGGGGCCTCTGGATATATCTTCTTTGTGGGAGATAGCGAAGATTTTATTGAGGCTGGAGTTGGTTTTGCTATCAAATCTGCAGTGCTTAGCACGCTGGGTGAACTTTCAAAGGGAGTCAACCAAATGATGATGACAATGAAACTCCCCATTCTATCAGAAAGGAAATACCTCACTTTCATCAGCGCTATTCTTCAACATTTTCCAAAAAGATAACAAAAAAAAACACAAATTCTATGAGGTTCTTCATTGTGTCATACCGGATGCTTTCAAAGCAAGACAAATTCTTAATTCGCGGTGACTTCAATGCTTCAGTGTTCCGTGATTTCATCGCTTGAAATGAGGTTAGGGAAAGCATTGAGTGGACCATTCCAACCGTAACGGTCTCATCTTGCTCCACACTTGCGTTGAGCACGAACAACTAATTACCATTACAGACTTTAGCCCTGCCACAAGGCTGACGCGATCCAGGGCTATGTGGGCAGAAACGATCTGGGAAATTTCTGCACCGCTCTTATAGAACTCTACGGTACATTTCATCAGGATTATTCCCACTTCAGATGGCTGATTCGAAATTTCTGATTACCGAGAGAGACAACAAACTATATTGAGAGTTGGGCAGAGTACTTTGAAAGGGTCCTAAATCGGTCTTCATCTTTCAATGACGAAACAATAAATCGACTTCCTCAGGGGCCCATCAAACAAGAAATGGAATCACTGCCCCACCTTAAATGAGACGCAACAAGCTATACGCCTTTCCTCGAGAGGCAAGGCTCCCAGTGATGACTCCATCTAAGCTGAATTTGACAACGAAATGGACACAGCTCTGACTTAAAGTCTTCATAGGCTGTTCCTACTTCTGTGGTAGCAGAGAAGATACCACAGCATTTTAAGGACGCATTCATTGTCCCCTTGTACAAACATTAAGGGATCTGTCAAATCCTGTGACAGCCATCGTTGCATTTCTTTGCTCTACATTTCAGGCAAGATACTCGCTGGAATCCTCCTAAACTGGTCTCAATTCGCATCTCGATTAGTGTCTTCTGCAAGTAAAATGAACAACTTTCACAAGATGTGCCTACAAAAACTCCTCCACATCAAACTGCAAGAAGTTATCCCAAGAACTGAGGTACTCGCACAAGCTGGTCTCCCCAGCATACACACCGTATTAATGCAGTCCTAGCTTCACTAGGTGGTCCGTGTTGTGAGAATGTCACTCGGCTGCTTGACCTAAAGAATATTTTATGATAAACTCAAGCAGGGCGGTTGGTTTGCTGGGAGAAACGATTCAAAGACAAAGCGAAAACAACTTTGTAGAAAGCATTTCCCTTTGACCCGAACATGGGGGAACAGTCCTAATAAAATCGAGATTCGTGGCGCTCTTCCCTATACACAAGGTGTCAATGCAACAACAGGCTGACAGAACAGCTGCTGGGCTCAGTGCAACAAGAGGCTGACAGAACAGCTGCTGACAGAACACAAGAGACAAGCCAGAAAAGCCAGAGCTACCTCTGTACCTGGAGTTGCTCCATCCATCCCCTCCACATTCTGCACCCGAACATTTCGTGCAAGAATTAGCCTGATCACCCAAAGACACATTCAGCCCCAACAAACATGAAGATGTTTAAAAAGGTCATGGTTGACTTTGGACGGACGAACTTCCCCATTTACGTTAAATGTATGTACCTTTGTTATGATGATGCGGATATGAAAATCATAGTAATTTAAGTGGTGAAAAGCAAACTTATGGTGTATCCTCTTTGACACAATACTTTATCCTTCACGTCATTTCAACAAGTTTTTGGCCTCAATGCACTACAGTTTGTAACACGCAGCTGCACAAGGAAATGTCCAAGTGCAGTACGGATGAGATGCGTTGAAATTGAACAAAGCCCTTCTTGAATCCTATATATAAACTTCACTTTTTTCTTGAGTGGCTGGCAAAATTTCCGGACGGCTAAATGACCCACTTCTCGTCAAACATCTTGAGCTGAAAATTGGAAAATGGACTTGATGCCAATGACAACACATTCTTTCAAATCTTTAGCTCCAACCCCCCTCCCCCCACCCAAAAATTAATCCGATTGTTCCTATTTTTCAAGGGAAAGGTAAAATAAAATTCCTGATAACAGCCCTAAATGAGATTCTTTTAAAAAAATATCGCACCTGCATTTGGTGAATAATATTAATTTTCTTTTTTTTTTTAATCGAAATATTTGGTGAAATCAATCTGTGGGGTGAAAGAGGGTGGTTCATTAGAATATCAATATAGTTCAAGGTCGTGAAAAATTATGCGGCTGAGAACCCCGGGGGGGGGGGGCATTACTTTTGATTATAATAAATTAAGTATCTAGTAAGCATGTTTTTCATTTCCTTCAAATTTTCGGCCCCAGCCCCCATCGCTCGATACTATATTTTATAAAGGATTTGTACTAACAAATCTTTTTTTTTCAGAGGTAGTTTAAATGATAATGGTTTCGAATGAAAAGCAAGAAAGAATACGCTTGTTAACCCACACAACGACCCATTTTCTATTGTTAACCCACACAACGACCCATTTTCTATTGTTAACCCACACAACGACCCATTTTCTATTGTTAACCCACACAACGATACCCATTTTCTATTGTTAACCCACACAACGACCCATTTTCTATTCCTAACGGCTTTTTTTTTTCACATTTGATCCTGTTTCTTATTTTCTGCCACATTCACTGGTCATCGCTGGAACCGCTCCTCCCGGTGGCACATTTTCCCCTTATGTTCTGGCTGGCATTTTCGGACAACAGCAGCGGGGGGGGGGGGGTTGGGATGAAGCGGCAAAATTTTGGTCCATCGTGCGCAGCACCAGCCCTAGCGATGTCACTTGTGACTATTCTTTAGAAAAAAGGTTAATTTCCTCAATGTAGTAAGAGTGGATAAAACAAGCGGTAATAGTTACGGGAAAAGAAAATATCCTTCAGAGCTTCGACAAGTGTTAAGCTTTTATCGATCAATGAATTCATGACCTTTATGTCACTTAAGATATCTACATTTTGCAAAGCCAAGTATTTCAACTGTCCTATAACCTACATTTACAAAAAATATTTTTAAATATAGATCTGGTGAACCACTGACTTGAGGCGGCCGCGCCTGTGTGATTCTGTCATGCTCTTTGGTCTGTCGTTGACAAGTATTTCCTGATAATTATGCAGAACTGTAATCAAGGGGCTTCAGCGAACTGAAAACGCTACGCATGGAATGATCGGTGACCCGAGGCGGAGCTCTTAACAGCCCCCCCCCCCCTTATGTTCCGCCCTAGTGGCGAACCTTCCGGCCCCCCCCCGGAACGCCAAAGGAGTAGCTGCCATGAATCGGAGCGTACAGAGCACGGAGTGGATTGCCCTATTGCGGTCTTAACAGCCCCCCCCCCCCTTATGTTCCGCCCTAGTGGCGAACCATCCGGCACACCCCAGGAACGCCAAAGGAGTAGCTGCCATGAATCTGAGCGTACAGAGCACGTAGTGGATTTCCCTATTGCGGATCACAACGACCTGCCCCGCAACCCCTGAGGCAAAACAAGATACTATCTTTTGAGTGGGTGCAAAGCTTATGCGTTCTTGAATTCCATGCCTTTTTTGTTCGTTTTCAAGAATTGAGCTTCAGACTTTTGGTAATCCTACAACTAACGTTAACCAATCTTAACTGCGAAATTAATTTAAGGTGATGATACCCAGAAAACGTTTAGGCCTATTTACTGTGTTAATCTTAAGTCTAGTAAATTGTTATCTTACTGAGAATTTAATTCACAATGATAATACCTAGAAGACATTTAGGCTTATATGTACTTTGCCAATCTCGAGTCTAATAAATTGTTGACTTTATGATATACAAGCAGTGGGGTGGGAAGGTGTTAAGTTGCAGAGGAGGCGCTATTTTTCTCTTTATGCTAAGGTGTTGTCTTCTCAGCCAAAATCAGATTTTGTTCATGGATGAGGGTTGCAAAATTTTTGCGCCCCCCTCCGGGCGTTGCCACTTCCCCATCTACTCTACTGCATAGAAGACCATAATTTTAGTTTCAATGTGATTAATTTCTATACATCTTTATTCAACTATCAAAAGTGCCCCTTTAATGCTTTTAAATACGCTATGCAATTTCAACTGAAGCGAAACGTGACAGAGTGAGAATCCTTGAAAATTCGTTTCTGCTAATCGATTAGATTCCCAGAAACGAAACCTGTGCAATGTTATTAGTATATCTGGTGTGGTGTGTCTCTCGGCCTGACACGAACGGGCAGCGTTGTAACTTTGACCCAGTAAACTATCGCTTTATCTTACACGCCTGGATACACACAAGATCACCAGGACATTGCTTCAGCTGGTGTGCTGGTTGAAGGCCCAATGAATACAGAAATGTTGGATCTCGTCGGCCACTCAGAACTAACACAGACAGCACACCATTGTTAAAAGAAAATCGTTAGCAATATGTCGAAGACTCGGCTGATCGAAGTGTTGACATGCACACTATGCGGTGTGTTGTAGGGCTCCAGGAGTCAACTGTGACCATAAGGACATCGTCCAGCACAGACGATGGATGACTCGGTGAGGAATATCATCATTGGAGCAACATGCGGGGGCGTGCTTCTACTCATCCTCGTTGGCATTGTGGTAAGTGAATTTTGATCGTATTTATTGTATAAGCTGTTTTGTTGTCAAAACAGCGGTGAAGTTAAACAGCTAAGCGAAATCATCTATTCAAATCAAGACAAAATCTTTGATTTTCTTCCGTTGGATGGGAGGAAAAATGATTCTTTGGCGAATATCGTTATGTAAATATTGATATGGGTGCTGAGTGGCCGATTGATCTAATCTGAGCATATCTCAACCAGTTTATGGTTGCTCAGCTTGCACTTTAAAATCCATTTTTTTTTTTCAAAATTTATTTGTGACAAAAATTCAATAATATTTATACAAACTTATAAAAATTTTCCATTAACAACAAGAATCTGAATTTAAAGTCTGTATATCGGCATTATGTCTGCTTCTCGCTGATGTTGAATTATGTTACCACTGCCGTTCCGGGTTAAAAGCGATACAATTAATTCCGTTAATCATCTGGCGGGCCGGATAAACGGAAGTCGCTCTCCTCCGGCCCCAACACTAAAACAGCCACCATTTCTTTTTTTTTTTTCTAATACAATATTAAAAACAAAAAAAATAGTATGAACTTGCAATAATGAATTATGGGGCCTGGTAGTTTTAGTTGATGTTCAGGCTGGTGTGAGCAAAATGAAAAAAAGTAAATTTAAAAAAATAATAATAATAATTGAAAGCCTTATTCACTAAAGCTATGGCCGTTTATGAAATTTAAAAAAAATAGTCTCAAAAGCGGCCAATTTTTTTATCACTAAGATATGGGCTCTAAAAAAATAAATCATTCGTTTAAATTGTCCAGTTAACTTTTCAAGTTTCGCGATAAAAGTTCAGATTTAATTTTCCGATGATTTGCCTTATTCCTTAATAGTTTAAGTCAACAAGTGAGTAATTAAGTTTTTATAAACGAAAAAACTTTGTGTTTTTTTACTATTATTAGGAAAATACATTTCGAAACCTCTAACAATCATTTAGAAATGTCTAAAGACGTATTTTTTTAGAAACTTAAATTTTGATTTTAGTACATTTGAGGGATATCACAGAGACTTGGGAAACTTTAAGAAAATTTTAAAGACTTATTATATAATTTTGAAACCCTTATAAAATACTGAACGTAGAAGTTAGACCATGTAGAAACTTCAACGTTATATTAATATGGAATATAAAGGGTCAGTCTTCCACATTTGGCCTTACATCCATGAATGCACGGTGTGCGTATTTCTTACGTTTGTCAGATTGTTTAAAGGTGCATGTTAATTCTATTTTTCAGATCTGGTGCTACTGGAAGAAACGATTAAAGGTAAACAAAATGGGGGTCGGGGATATATTTTGATATCTTTACTAAAATTTCTTTATTGAAATGTTTTCTTACCAACTCACGTGCTACTGACATCAAAATTTTCCAGTCGTCAATGCATATAAATAATGTACATGTTATGAATCAGGCAGTACATATAGTTAACATACATAATCGTCCCCAAAAATAATTCTAAAAACTCCTTCACAAATGAATTGAATATTTAAAGTGCCAATCCGTCTTAACCAATAGATTCATTTCTATAAAAAGTCTTCCAATCAAGAAAACGAATTTAGAAAATATATTATAAAAGTCCAGGGATATTTACCAGCACAACATTATTTGACTTTCCAAACACACGTCATCACAATTTCACTTTTTAAATCTTAAAACATTTTTTTTAAAACACATTGTTTACTTTTAATTTTAAAAACTTTTTTTTTTTTTTTTTTTTTTTTTTTTTTTTTTTTTTTTTTTTTTTTTTTTTTTTTTTTTTTTGTAATTTCATTTAACCTATAAAATTTTTATAAAAATTCAGAGATAATAATAAATTAGAATTTCATATGTTTAAAAACATATTTTCGTCATTAATTTTTCAGAAATGTTGCTGTTGTCCAGGGAAGGTTAACGACGTCGAAGACCAGAACGGCGCTGCGAACCATGGTCTCCCTTCAGCCACGCCTCTCACGGGTCAGGATAATAAAAGCTTCCAGACTTCGTCAACACAGCTCGCGGTAACCAACAGTTTGGAGATTACGTCTGAAATCTCAGGTACACAACATCATCAGCAAGTTCACGGAGGAGAGCAGTTGAAGAGATTACAAGAATGGAAAACATTACAGCAACTGAAGGACACGCAGAGACAGGAGCAACAGAGGCAAGAACTGCTCAGTCTGGAAAATCTGCGACAGGAGCAACAGCGTCAGGAACGTATTCACCAGGAGCGCGAACGCCAGGAGCAACAGCGTCAGGAATCGCTCCGTCAGGAACGTCTTCGTCAGGAGCAACAGCGCCTGGAGCAACAGCGCCAAGAAACGCTGCGTCGGGAAAATCTTCGCCTGGAGCAAGAACGCCAAAACCAGTTACTTCAGGCGCAGTATATCAGAAATGACAACGTGAATGAGCAGCAGAGGGCCAGGGGACGTTCGAGGCAGAGGAATAGAAATAAAAACAGAAACAGGTCGGACTCACGTGATCAGTCGGACCATCGAGAAGGGTGAGTATCGTGTAAATAATGTGTGCATTGTATAAATAGTGTGTGCATTTTGTAAACAGTATATACATTCTGTAAATAGTGTGTGACTTTTGTAAACAGTGTGTGCATCGTGTTTCTCACGAGCTGCACATGCACAAGAGAATATACAACACAGCATGATTCACATTAACTTATATGCCTTAATAATGACATATCAGCTCCTTAATATTTAGGTTTTCATTTAAAGATTTGGAATGACCCACAAATTATCATTTACTTTCCAGAAATGTTTAGGAACTATACCATAGATCATATGTATGAAACGTTTTACATACGCAGGGCTGGGAATGCAATGAGTAGTGTTTTTAGCTCATTCATTGATTTTGAAATGGCTGCTCCATTTGTTGCCAAATCAGGAGTTCGGGTATTTAATTGTGTATAACAATTACTTTATAATACCGACAAATCGCCGGTTTTTTATTTGAAGGAATAGGTTTGTGGAGACACGTGGCTTCCTGAGAGATAAACTGTAACTAAAGATTTCAACTGAATCGGAAGGGAGAATGCCAACAGTTGTATTTATTTCATGGGTTAAAAAATTAAAACACATTTTTGTCGGTGGACAAAGATGGTGGTGAACTAAATGTTGGGCGAAGATGGTAGGGAACGAAATAGTGGGCGAAGATGGTAGGGAACGAAATAGTGGGCGAAGATGGTAGGGAACGAAATAGTGGGCGAAGATGGTAGTGAACGAAATAGTGGGCGAAGATGGTAGGGAACGAAATAGTTGGCGAAGATGGTAGGGAACGAAATAGTGGGCGAAGATGGTAGTGAACGAAATAGTGGGCGAAGATGGTAGGGAACGAAATAGTGGGCGAAGATGGTAGTGAACTAAATAGTGGGCGAAGATGGTAGTGAACTAAATAGTGGGCGAAGATGGTAGTGAACTAAATAGTGGGCGAAGATGGTAGTGAACTAAATAGTGGGCGAAGATGGTAGGGAACGAAATAGTGGGCGAAGATGGTAGTGAACGAAATAGTGGGCGAAGATGGTAGGGAACGAAATAGTGGGCGAAGATGGTAGTGAACTAAATATTGGGCGAAGATGGTAGTGAACTAAATATTGGGCGAAGATGGTAGTGAACTAAATAGTGGGCGAAGATGGTAGTGAACTAAATAGTGGGCGAAGATGGTAGGGAACGAAATAGTGGGCGAAGATGGTAGTGAACGAAATAGTGGGCGAAGATGGTAGGGAACGAAATAGTGGGCGAAGATGGTAGTGAACGAAATAGTGGGCGAAGATGGTAGGGAACGAAATAGTGGGCGAAGATGGTAGTGAACTAAATATTGGGCGAAGATGGTAGTGAACGAAATAGTGGGCGAAGATGGTAGTGAACGAAATAGTTGGCGAAGATGGTAGGGAACGAAATAGTGGGCAAAGATGGTAGTGAACTAAATATTGGGCGAAGATGGTAGTGAACGAAATAGTGGGCGAAGATGGTAGTGAACTAAATATTGGGCGAAGATAGTAGTGAACGAAATAGTGGTCAAAGTTAACTAGGCGGTTTAATAAAATAATGTATTTCGATCACTGGGAATATCACTCATTTTTTTTTTTAAATTTCCTCATCTGCTTTAAATAACAGACACAGATTTTATATAGTTAAGCTATCGACTTATTGAGTGCAAAAAGTGTATGTACATATAAAGATTCAAGATTTGGGAAATAAAAATAAACTTCTTATCGAAAGTTTTTAAATAAAAAATCAATATATCATTTACAAGGGTTCATTGCTGTTATTTTTTTTTTTTAAAGAAGGATTTCCATCAAGCTATATTCCCTTAAGGGTCATTATCGTTAGAGCTCAACTTTCATTTAATATGCTTGAAGTGACTTTAAATGAAATTCCCACTTGGTTTTAATTTAATTTCAGTTTTGAACATATTGTTGTTGGACTGGAAATTCAGCACAAAACTTCTTATGGGGACATTTAAATGTCAAAATCAATCAAAACCTGTTGGTTTCTTAAACTGCCCTTTGTGAAATAGGAATCCAAGCAGAAGCGGATCTGGTTTTCAAATTTTCCAGTCCCCAATATTCAATTGATACTCGCTCATTGACCAGTTATTGTTAACCAATTGAATGTAAAGATAAAAAAAATTATTGCTGATTTAAATGAAAATTGTCGTTTTATCAAATATTTAGAGATCCTAATAAGACGTTAGATCTCCATGGGATGCATGTTGGTGAAGCCATGAAAAATGTTATGAACTTTGTGTACATGATGGAGGAAGGTGGGTATGTTAGTCTACATAATAATTATGGAACTTTCAATATTACGAAACAATTTAGCTCCAGCTCTAGACTAAGTATATTAAGATTAAACCATTTTATTATTATGAAGTTAAATGATTTTTTTAAAATATATATTTTATGCTATAGATTGCATTTGTTAGCATTTTAACATGAACTGATGACATTTGTAAGATTTCGCTACGGTAAAACTAGATAAAATTATAAGGCCTGGTTGATTTGAAGACAATGATTACTTTTCAGTCTACAACAGGAATAATTATAGCCGAGCGGACAGATTCATCTACGTCATAACTGGGCGTGGCCTCCACAGCAGAGGCGGTGTCCCAAAAATCAAGCCAGCGGTGCAAGGCTATCTCGACAAGCATGACTACATGTCAGTACACTTGAATTAACTACAAAGGCTAAACTGTTTGTCAATCGTTTGTTGTATAACATAACGAATTTTTTTAACGGGCTTTAACATTCATTTACATTTGAACTAGTGGGTTTTTAATTTCTTTTAAACGTGTTGATTTGCACGTGGGATTTGTCGAGCGGTGTGGGGGGGGGGGAGGTCGATATGAGGGGGGGGGGTTTGTTGAACAGGGGGGGTGGTAAATATGAGGGGAGGGGGTTTGTTGAACAGGGGGGGTGGTAAATATGAGGGGAGGGGGTTTGTGGATGGTTTGGGGGTTTGTTGAGATGTGGGGGAGGGGATTTGTCGAATTGAGGAGGGGAGTTTGACGAGCTTGGGGGGGGGGCTATGTTGGCAAAGGGGCGAGTGTCCCCTTTCGCCCCTTCACACGGCCCAGATTTTTAGCTTTTCAGCAGAAACATATATTTGTTCCATGACATGTGTTGTGATTGATAATGAGTTTCATCGTCTATCCAGGTACGAATGGAATAATATGGGAGGAATGGTCACAATTGATCTATTGTCAAAACGGCGAAACCCATTCTAGCAACACTGTGGCTCAGTTATCGACATAGAAGAAGCAGTGCCACTGTGGATCATCTTTCGACTCAACAGAAACAGTATCACCGTGGCTCAACTTTCGACTCAACAGAAACTGTGCCGCCGTGGATCAACTTTTGACTCAACAAGAACAGTGCCGCCGTGGATCAACTTCGACTCAACAGAAACTGTGCCACCGTGGATGAACTTTCGACTCAACAAGAACAGTGCCGCCGTTGATCAACTTCGACTCAACAGAAACTGTGCCGCCGTGGATCAACTTTTGACTCCACAAGAACAGTGCCGCCGTGGATCAACTTTCGACTCAACAGAAACAGTTCCACTGTGGATCAACTTCGACTCAACAGAAACATTGCCACTGTGGATCAACTTTCGACTCAACAGAAACAGTGACACCGTGGATCAACTTTCGACTCCACAAAAACTGTGCCACCTTATATCAATTTCCGACTCAACAGAAACAGTTCCACTGTGGATCAACTTTCGACTCAACAAAAACAGTTCCACCTTAGATCAACTTTAGACTCAACAGAAACAGTTCCACTGTGGATCAACTTTCGATTAAACAGAAACAGTTGCACTGTGGATCAACTTTAGACTCAACAGAAACAGTTCCCCTGTGGATCAACTTTCGACTCAACAGAAACAGTGCCACCGTTGATCAACTTCCGACTCAGAAAAAACAGTCACACTGTATAGCAACTTTCGGCTCTACAGACACATCTCATTGTTGATAAACTTTCGACTCAACAAAAACAGTGCTAACTCCTAGAGCAGTTAAAACCTAGAGATCATATTTTATATTTTTACAGAAGGCTGTGCTATTCACTGTTACCATTCAAATAATATATTATCAAACATTTCAAATTTTTTTTTAAAATGTTGTCACTAATCAGGAAGCTGCTTTGTGTATTTAATATTTCCCCATGCAAACTGGATGTAATCTCTTTGTAATTTTAGCGTTCTAAATCTATATTTACAATTGACTATAAATAAAATTGCGCTATTGTTTTTGTATATCATTTAGAACGCTAAACTACAACACTTTGATATGTGAAAAATTATGTGTTTCAATTTCAAATATTTGTTTTTTTTCTTTTTTTATGTTGTCTGCTGACGAAGGCATTTAGCCGAAATGTCCTTTTAATTATTTTTTGTAATTTTATGTTTCAAGGCTACCAACATCCTCTTCCACTATTTATTTCACTTCACGCAACTTGAACGCAGTCCCTCCTTTATGTTAAATTGATCTCTTAGCAGTAACGTTAGACTGACAGTAAAGCAGCCCCATATACAGGAGGAAATGTGAAAAGGGACACAGGGATAGAGACACAGAAAGAGGGGGGGGAATAGGGATGGCGACGTAGGAACATAGTGGTGCTTTTAGGGAGAAAGACATAGGGTAGGAGACCATAAGGAGTGTGACATAGTGAGGGCGACAGAGGGAGGGAAATTAAGGAAGAGGGACATAGGGTGGGGGGCATGGGGAGGGGGCGCAGGAAGAACAAGAATTCCATCAGTGCCGACTAACTCATGGCTCATAAGATATGATCGCACCATATAACTGTAAAGTTCATGAGATGACGGCACAGTTAAATTTCTCAGCAATGCATAAATTTTGAACTGTACGTGTGGAGCCTCAGGAATGACAGATGACTCCAAAAGGAGACCGAACCATCTAGTGTGGAGCCTCAGGAATGACAGATGACTCCAAAAGGAGACCGAACCATCTAGTGTGGAGCCTCAGGAATGACAGATGACTCCAAAAGGAGACCGAACCATCAAAGTCATTTTTGTGTGTGTGTGTGTGTGGTTTTGCTTTCTTCGCAATTTCGAAAAAAACAAAACGCACATTTAGTTCAGATAGATTAATCATTTCATTTGCAACTCACTTGCCCTTGATTACAGTCGTTTTTGTTGGTAACGAGTTGCAACCCCTTTTTGGTGCCTCGTCTTTGTCTAAAGCAGTGGTTCTCAACCTTCCTAATGCCTCGACCCTTTAGTACAGTTCCTCGTGTTGTTGCGATCCCTCAACCACAAAATGTTTTCATTGCCACTTCATAACTGTAAAGTATATGTTTTTTCCGATGTTCTAAGGCGACCACCTAGGTAAGGGTCTTTCGACCCCCAAGCGGTCGCGACCCACAGGTTGAGAGTCAGTGGTCTAAATAAAAGTTTTTGATCAATGGGTGGATTGGAATTAATTGTAAAACTATTTTTCATAAAGGCAATTAATTTCCCCTCTCCTAAAAGTATAACGCTTCGTAGAATCTTCAACGTTATTTAATCGGGATTTGATTATACACTTCCAACTCCCTGATATGCAATTATAAATAATTTGTTAAATTTATATAATAAATGTATACTATACCATAGTATGAATTTGAGTAAATTAACCTGAGAAGGATAAAATCTTCACTTTTATAAGCTGGGATGAGAACATTTAGATATGGCTCAAACTTATTTATATCGTCCATCCACAGCTGTACATAATAAAAGATCATGCAATTATTTATTTATATTATGTATTAAATGATGCTAGGACCTATATTTGGAAATTACTGCTGACTTTATATATACTATGTAATACCTTTTTTCGTTCTTTAAATTTTTACCGGTGCTAAAAAGATAAAATGTTGTTAAAAATATATTAGTGACTCCATTTAGATTGAACTGACGAGGTGATATATATTACCAGTGAATCATGCAACCTTTTTTGTTAGATTTAAAAAAATTTAAATTATGAAAAATTATTTTAAATTATTATTATTTTTATTAATTACAAAAAAAAGTAATCTTTGAAAAATTTACTTTAAATTATTTGTTTTTGTTTTAATGATAACCATGTATTTATTTTTAATTTGTGTGAACCTAGTACATTGTTTAACGTTACCTTTGATTAAGTATTTTTTAAGTTTAAAAAGTCAGCAACATTGTCTTCTAACACGATCACAATCGGTTCCCACCTTGGCATTGGAACTAAATAAGCACTGAAGCTAAGTTTCGGTAGTCTGAAAGAGATAGCGCCTTGTTAGGTTATGACATTAATCATCATTTGGTACGATAAAATTTTCGTCAAATTTATTTTTGATCGCATTATTTTGTTTTATTAATACTGCCTTCAGAAAACAAAAAAATTGACGCACATTTGAGGAAAATTTAAAGCAAAATTGACGAAATTTTGTACGTGTGAACTAAGCATTTGTGTGTGGCACAAGTTGCGTCCATCATTTATTTGTTTTTCTCTTTTTGTAAAAAAAACGTCATTCAACTTGACGAATGACGTTTAGTTGTTGTTTTTTTCTTCTGTCTGCTTTTAATGGACATGTTTGTTAAACAATCTGGGTACCCAAACAAGCAGTACTTGTAGGGTTATCGCTAAATTATTCATCTCGGTCTTTAAAAAATAAAACATATGAAGGTGGATATTTAGCGGAGGTGAATATTGTCTAGGTGGTGCTGCAAGCGGTTATTGCTTCAATAGTTCAATTCAGCTTCACTGGATTACACTAGAAATGTATTTACTCATCAAACAAATAGGCATTGTTGGATTACACAAGAAATGTATTTACTCATCAAACAAATAGGCATTGTTCGATTACATAAGAAATGTATTTAGTCATCAAACAAATAGGCAATATTGGATGCAGCATTTAGGAGCTTCGATATTTTATACAAATTTACTAATAATAAAAAGCTTTTATATCACTAAAAAAAATCATGATGTCTCTGTTCTCATTTAATTGTCTACTTTGTCGATTTCAAATGCCCTGCACAGTAATAGGAAAATGGTTCTTTATTTTTTCATGATTTAATTAACAATTTATAATAACCGACTTGGTCTGCTGGACGGCTGTTGGATTGAGAGGATTAATAGGGACCCAACAACAACACAATACAAATCGGCGAATGCAGCTTTAAAGCGGCTAAAGACAAGGTGTTACGCATTGTTGTCAGTACGGAGAAATAGATCTCCTATTTACATGTATGGCTCGTTCCAATACGGCACATCACAAAAGACGATACCAAATGATAAAAACAATAACGAAGAATACGATACTCGAAACAGGGCTAATTGCAATTAATAAGTTTTATTAAGTTTATCATTAGTCTGATTGTAGCAACTGATTTTATAACGGGCATACTGAAAAAAAAAAATTAGTGCCAGTCAAAACTAATAGATTAAAGATATATTTAAACCTAAATGCGTCACAAAAACAAAGCACATAGCAAACAGCTACACAATTAATCTCCACACTAAAACATGCACCCGTTGAACCAATCATTGCCTTTCCCTTCCCGCTTGAAAAATAGAAAACACGGTTTATTGAGATTGGGGTGGGGTATGTGGCTGAAGACAAGAAAGAATGTATTGTCCTCGGCAAGTCAAACCTTGTGCAAAGCTTCAGCTCGATAGGATGACTGGAATGTGACGATCTGAGGCTGGCCTTTTTAAAATTTCATCCACCATAAATCCGCCCTTATAGACCCTTGTGAACGCTGAAGATAACTACACTAGAGACTTCATAGCGTTATCATTATCACTTGGCTGTGAATGCTGAAGATAACTACACTAGAAACTTAATAGCGTTATCATTTGACTGTGAACGCTGGAGATAACTACACTAGAGACTTAAGTAGCGTGATTTATAACTGCCACCTAGGATACTAGCAAGTATATGTCTTTTAAGATCCGATCACTTTTATTGTGGAATTTGGAAGTAACTAAGACTTGTTACTTCATTAGCGTGATCATTAACTGCGGCTGCTACCTAGAGTACTAGCAAGTACGCAACTATGATTTTGATATTATGGTATTGCACTTGTATTGTTCATACACTTTGTAGCAATTATTCGATCGTGTTTGATCTTATTCTAAAATGCATATATTACATTATATTGATATTATGCATTCTATTATTGCTTGTGCCACGGGTTACGACACACCGCCATCCCATCATAGAGATGGTAAGTTGTTGTTGTTCCAAATCGCCCATGTCGCTTTTAACGAGAAGACAATATGTATACTATGTACCTGTAAATTTTATGATTGATAATGAATGTCACATGCTTCATTAATTAAAATGCTTGCTTGGTCCAACATTGTCGCGAAGCAACCTATGCTTACGCCGACAATGATCAGACTTATAAATCCATCCACAAATTGGATGTATATGCACGAGCTATGTAAGAGTCCATACATCGATCTGAATTGGTCGCAATAGAGCGGAACTTATCAGCTTATGTCTATTAGCTTGGATACTTATCCATTTTTGTAACATTTGCCTTTAGCCTGGTTTCTATTTCTGGACCGACTGACCTTGAAGCTGGAACTAGGGGATTGATTTACGTCCTGCACCAAACTACTTGACAGCTAGGACTTCGAGATCCAGGGACTCTCACTACTACGATTTATCGCTGGAGAGTCATCTTCCCCATCGCAGAGATCCCACGGACTCTGCGACCGGGAACTTAGACTTCCCTACGCTTACACGCTTCTAGAACAGAATGAGTTCCCACACTGTGTGATCCACCGAGATCATCACTGGAACTATAAAGGCTAAGTCAACAAAGATTGAGCATAGAACCTTGAGCATTATAGCATTAATAATGTTTATACCGTATGTATGTTAGGGACACTTGCTTTGCATTGATATACCTTTCTAATTGTATGAAATCCATTTGATATATATATATATATATATATATATATATATATATATATATATATTGTGGAGAGTTCGGACCACGACGGCGCCGGGGGCGTCTGACGTAACCGTCTGACCAGGGATTACGGCCGTCTGACCAGGTACAGCCGGCGCCATCTGACCTGGGATCACGACCGAAGGATCAAGCGCTGGGGGCGGTACCGGCCATCCATCTGACCAGGGCATTTCCCTGGTCTGTTTGTAATCTGGCGCCGATTGGGAAAAGGGGCGGGGTATAATGCGCCAGTCCAGACCTGGGAGAGGAACTATGGGACAGGGAGGTATAAATAGGGATCTCTGGACGGGACGAAAAAAGAAGGCGGCCGGACTGAGAACTAGATAGCAGGGAGAAGTCAGAGTTGTGAAATGAGAGAAAGAGTAAGCAAGGTGACAGCCAAATAAAGAACACGAGTTTAATCATCAAATGTATCACCGGAGTTGTTCCCTTATTGAGTACCAGATCTAGATGAAGTTTGTCAGAGAGTAAGCAAGGTTTCCTTACAATATATATATATATATTTATTAAGCCCCATGAGTGTATAATGGAGGAGTTTGTAAATATTATTATTCAATAAATACTTATAGTTATTTTCTCTTCTAACAAAGACTTCGTTTCTGTCTATACTATATAGATAGGTGTTATGTCTGTGTGGTAATTTGGCTTAAAAAACAAATCCCTAGACAGAGTGCAAAGAGGAGATATCATACGAGAGATACCCCTCATTAAAATATCATAAGTCAGATCACCACAGAATTCCAAAGATTTTGCCGCCAGAAGAAAGACAAAACATGAACAAAAGTGAAGTTAATATAAAGGATTGAGTTCAACAACCCCAAAATAGGTTCTCGTATACATTCTCCTTATATATAATTGAACGGGATGTATCATTTATTAAGAACCGGTTATGTGAATGGGTAAACTTCTGGTGAAACACATTTCACATTTCCTTCATTTCCCTCTTAAAAAATACATGTTATTTTACTGCACACCCAAATACTTCATAAATACAAAGCATATAGAAATAGATGCAGAATAATCTCCAAACCAAAAAACATGGCACCCATTGAATAAATCATTAAATGTCATCCCTTTTGAAAAACAGGAAGAACATATTTTCAGGGGGTTGAGAGTGGGGCTAAAATTTAGAAAGAATATGTTGTACTCAATGAACGAGACTAAGTGCCAAGTTTCAGCTCGATAAGATGACGGGAAGTTGTTAAGAATAAGCATTCCTAAAATTTTGCCGCACAGTATCACACGAACAGGGACGAAGTTAAGATATTAAGGATTTAATTAAACATCCCATAAAAACAAAAAAAAATCCGTACAAATCAAATATATGCCTTTTTATTGGCATTTATGTAACTGTATGTCATTTATCATTAATGTGATTGTAGCAAATGATTTTTTTTTTTTTGGGTAGGGGAAGGGTTTTCATCAAACTTAGTGCATGAAAAGCCTAATAGACAAACATATATTTAAGCCAAATTCGTCACAACTCCAAAGAACTTAGCAACAGCTAGACAATAAATCTCCACACCAACACATGCAAACGTTGACAAAAATCATATTTCATGCATCTTCCCCTTTATAAAAACAGGAAAATTTGATGTTTGGGGGTTGGGGATAGGGATTAAGGCTAAAAAGTATACATAATGTATTGTCATCAGCAAAGAGTCTATGAGTAAAGTTTCAGTTCAATGGGATGATGGGAAGTTGGTCAGTTAGCATTCCAAAGATTTTGGCAAAAACGCACGAACAAAACCGAAATTAATCTAGAGGATTTAAAAAAAGGAAAACGCTCTTAACAAATTATCCTCCCCCTTATATAAATCGATATGGTTCTGAGATACAGTAACCACCATTTCCAGCTGACGTAATGCGTTATTGGTTTTCTTGTAGTATCTTCTTTAAAAACTATATCTAGCCAACTTTAGAGACGGGAGGTGTGTAGCAATCGAGGAATGAGATTATCTTCTAACACGAAACGGTGAAAGCAATAATTAACAACAAATATGGACACCGCTTTGACTGTGTAATAATTTCCGTTATTACTGGGAGTTAGAATAAACTGATGATTTTTTAAAAAAATTACGATTCACCGCCTAAAAATATTTTGTGGTTAATCCAATGTAAAGTCACTGATGATGCAGATAAAAATGGAAGCCTCTTTACAAATTTTAAAAAAAAAAAGAGAAAAAGAAAAGAAAAAAAAAAGCTAATTGTATGTTTTGAAGCGTCACCGAAAAGAAAAGCTATTTTTTTTTTGTATTTATTAACACTTAGCTTCCATTTAACCTTTTCGTTAACTTTGTGGCTTCGTCACGGTTCGTTAAGTCAAGTGCTATCTTCTTAACGGCTGCGGTAATAAATGGAGCGTACTTGAAGGTTTTAAATGGTACCATCAACCAAAGAAGGAGCTTCGGGTTTTAAATTTAACGGATAGTCAAACTTGAATCGTTTACGAGAATGCAAACGGAGATCAAGGCAACTGGTCGATCATTATACAGACCGGTAATTTAAACAACAAAACAAACGCGCAAACAGTTGATGTAGTAATGTGGCCCAATTGGTTCTTCTCATTCAATGTCACAGACTGGAATAGAGATTACAAACAGTTGATGTAGTAATGTGGCCCAATTGGTTCTTCTCATTCAATGTCACAGACTGGAATAGAGATTACAAACAGTTGATGTAGTAATGTGGCCCAATTGGTTCTTCTCATTCAATGTCACAGACTGGAATAGAGATTAGCAAGGGCATTCAATATGTTTCTGATCACACCAACAACGTTATGAATGTGTTGACACGCTAGTTCTTATCAATGGCCAGGTCAATTTAAGACAAAAAGTTGACTCAAGTTCATGTTTGAATGTGTTTGTTTGTTTTTTTTCTTTTAAAAACGATAAGAATCCTTATCAAAGCCAACAAAAATCTCCGTTACACGCCTTTGCAAACCCCTCCCCCACCTTCCCCCCCCCCTCCAGAACAATTTTTTACCCAAGCAGATTACCGCACGGAATGGATCGATATTAGAACTGATAAACATGAATTTATTGCACAATGTCAACAGTAAAGGGGTGCGTAAAGGGAGAAAAAAAGAGGGGGGGGGGGTCGATTGAACGTAATTTTTTTTTACACACCAGCCAAACTTGTCGTGGACAAACGTGTAGCTCTTCATTACACAAGAGAATTACGTGCATGCGCTCTGTGATGACAGAGACGCATCAACTTACACACTAGTGAAATGTCGGAGGTCATGGCTCTTGTCTCACTACGGCGATGTCTGTTCTTTAAAGTGTAATCATATCAAGTGTGGTGTTTTTTATTTTTTATAATGAATGAGTATAATATCTGCTTTTAGTTTGTAGCCGTGCACACTCAAAGGTCAAGAAATGGAGCACTCGGATCTGATGATCATTATTGGAGTGTCCGTCGGAGCCGCTTTGCTGGTTATTGTATTCGTAGTAAGTAGATATATATTTTTTTTTAAAAAAACGTTGCTTGTATAATAAGACGTCTGAAGGCCTTGCTAACAGATGCTTTGTGTATTGATTATCCTCCCCCTAGCAACGAGACTGTCATTAGACGTACGTACCGAGTGCTGGCACCGACGATCTGTTTTATCATCTTAGGTATCCAAAAGAAAAATTTTAAGACGGCAAGTTTCTTATTGAGATTGAGCCTCTAATTCAGTGGTTCTCACCCTACCTAAAACTGTGACCCTCTAATAAATTTCCTTATGTTATGGTGACCCCCCCCCCTCTCCCCGGGCAGCGGTTTTTTTTCATCCATAAGTTGAGGGTCGGCATGTTCGTCCATCTGCAGTGTTTTTAAACGGGGGTGGGAATGCAAAAATCTTAATTCGTCCCGGGATGGCACTAATCCTCGCTACGCCACTATTAAAGCCCCTCTCCTCTTAATCGAGACAAGTTTTACTCAATAGACAGCCAAATATTACAAACACAAGTGTATGCCAAATGGATTTCATTTAAGATATTAAAATGTACGTTTTCAAAGGAAAAATAAAACGTATATGTCTGGTATTTTAAAATCGTATCAATGCATAAGACAGTTTTATGTAAATTATGATTTTTTGTTCTGTATTTTTCAGTGCTGGTGGTGTTGCTCTACCAGATGCCAAAGCTGTCGATGGGAGAACGACTCCGGGGTAAGCATATTAAATCGTACCGTTTTTATGACTAGTGTCTACACTTAGAATTTAAGGTCATCGTATTTTAATTATTTGATTTACAGATCCATATATTGATTACCTGAGGTCATCGATATTTTAATCGTATTTTTTATGATTTCCTAAACCTCTTTGAAATCATTTTTGCCAGATCAGATAAAAATATATTTAAGATAATATTGTAGAAAATCGGTCCTTCCGTGCAGGTAATATTAAGAATGACGATTTAAGATGCTTTTAAAATAATTTTAAAAAAAGCGGGTGAAAGCCTACCTCCGTTGACAGAACAAAAACAAACGAAGGAGAAAGAACAAATCCTAATAAATACTTAAACTACTTGCAAGAATAAATCTGTATATGCCCCATTCCTTCTATGGCCCACTCCTATTCCCCACTGCTATATACACTCTTTCCATGCCTCACTTCTTCCATGCCCCATTTTTTATATGCCCCACTTCTTGCATGCTCCATTCCTTCTATACCCCACTCTTTCTTTGCCCACTCTTCTATGCCCACTCTTGTATGCACCACTCTTTCTATGCCCACTCTTTCTATGCCCACTCTTCTATGCCCCGCGCTTTCTATGCTTCACTTTTCTATGCCGCACTTTTTCTGTGCCCCACTCTTTCTATTACCCACTCCTTCTATGACCCACTTCTTCTATGCCCCACACCTTCTATGACCCACTCCTATGCCTCACACCTTCTATTAACCACGCCTTCCATGCCCCACTCTTTCTATGCCCCACTCCATCTATATCCCACTCTTTCTATACTTAAAACAAAAAACGCAATTAAAACATATACAACTAAATAAGTTCAACGCATCACTTCCTACTCTATGTTAGTGAATAACTGGGTAAAAAGATGTAACACACATGCATCATTGGATCAACGGAGGCTTCATTTTCTTCCACAGTTATAAAGTTTTTAAATGTCTACTTAAAATTGTATGGTTCCTATAAAGGGTCTAGATTTATTTTCTGTATATCTTTACTTTTTTTTTAAAAATAAGGTCAACATTTAGACTTATTGTAGCGGGAGTTTGTTTCATAATAAAGATCATATATGAAGGACTTCCTTCAAGCTGTGTGAAGGAAATAGTAGAACAAGGTATGTGGAAGCTTGAAATGAAAGACAGGACAATAAGAGAAGAACGTTTCGGCCTAGAGCCTTCCTCGGAAGAAGGGAAAAATGAAAATACTACAAGAAGTACAACTAGTTAAAAACGTATGTTTTCGTCATTTTTACCGCCGGAAGTTGGATTTTCCGAACCCAAGATTACCGGAAGTAAAAGAAATGTATTTCTTGCAACTGTTTTTGCTTCTAAATACTAGATCGCTTTGTCAATGTCATGAAAAAAATAGTTCTATTTGTATATCACCAGATTTCCTGTTTTGTCGGGTATATACTCATATACCAAAAAAAAATATTTTTCCACAGGGATTTGGCTACAGGACACAGATTAATGATGACATCGAAAGACAGTCGAATGTTGCCGTTACAAGATCCTCATCGTGGTCTCCTAGCACGCAGCCATCGACTGCACGCGGGTTGAGGGCAGACGAGCATCAGCGCCGGGCGGCGCATCAGCCTCGACGAGGGGTTCTAGAAGAGCGGCACGTAGCGAGGCAGCTTCCTCAACAGCAGACCCTAGACGAGTTCTACAAACAGCAACTTAGAGAATGGCAGCGCCAGCAGCAGTTTCGTCAAGCCTCCGCCGTGCAGGATCAGCACTGGAATGAGAATGAAGTTGCACGAGGACCAGACTCTCGAAGGTAAAGATATAGGTACAAATAAAAATTGGTCAAATTTAAATTCTAGTAAACGTAGCCTCCAGCCAAAGTGTAAGGTGTGTAAATGTGTGTATCTAGGTCGTGGGCCTTCTTACCTGTTACTTGAGAGATATGGGCTTTATTAGTTTCGTGGAATACGTTTCGTCTGTTGTCTTTGTTGTCTTATGTGTCTAGGGTGTGTCTTATATTACTTTTGCGCCAGCACAAAACGTGAATACATTTCCTTAGTGGTCACATCCATTAATTTCATTACACTCACTGAACTGCAAATCGAGTGATGTGTATAACTATCCCAACAAGAGAAGATTTTAAGTAGTCCTTTAACATTGACAAAGTAACGCTTGTTACTACATGTAACTTGACACTACAATTAGTTTCCTTCTCATCTTCTAACTCATCTGTCCACACACCACAGCCTCTAATTCGTCCGTCCACACACCACAGCTTCTAATTCGTCCGTCCACACACCCCAGCTTCTAATTCGTCCGTCCACACACCACAGCCTCTAATTCGTCCGTCCACACACCACAGCTTCTAATTCGTCCGTCCACACACCAAAGCCTCTGATTCGTCCGTCCAAACACCAAAGCCTCTGATTCGTCCGTCCACACACCAAAGCCTCTGATTCGTCCGTCCACACACCACAGCCTCTAATTCGTCCGTCCACACACCACACCCTCTAATTCGTCCGTCCACACCACAGCGTCTCATTCGTCCGTCCACACACCACAGCCTCTCATTCGTCCGTCCACACACTCCACACACCACAGCCTCTGATTCGTCCGTCCACACACCAAAGCCTCTGATTCTTCCGTCCACACACCAAAGCCTCTGATTCGTCCGTCCACACACCAAAGCCTCTGATTCGTCCGTCCACGCACCAAAGCCTGTAATTCATCCGTCCACACACCAAAGCATCTAATTTGTCCGTCCACACACCAAAGCCTCTGATTCGTCCGTCCACACACCAAAGCATCTGATTCGTCCGTCCACACACCACAGCCTCTGATTCGTCCGTCCACACACCAAAGCCTCTGGTTCGTCCGTCCACACACCAAAGCCTCTGATTCGTCCGTCCACACACCAAAGCCTCTTATTCGTCCGTCCACACACCACAGCTTCTAATCCGTCCGTCCACCCCAAAAGCCTCTGATTCGTCCGTCCACACACCAAAGCCTCTGATTCATCCGTCCACACACCAAAGCCTCTGATTCGTCCGTCCACACACCAAAGCCTCTTATTCGTCCGTCCACACACCACAGCTTCTAATTCGTCCGTCCACACCAAAAGCCTCTGATTCGTCCGTCCACACACCAAAGCCTCTGATTCATCCGTCCACACACCAAAGCCTCTGATTCGTCCGTCCACACACCAAAGCCTCTGATTCGTCCGTCCACGCACCAAAGCCTCTAATTCGTCCGTCCACACAACACAGCTACTCATTCCTCCGTCCACACACCACGGACGTTCTTGTTTATTATTCGTGTTAACAAAAACTTAAATATCCTCTTTTCAAAAAAACAATTTGACACCCACGGGTTGACCACAATTTTACAATTCATTTAAATATTTAAAAAGTTGGTAAAAGGCCCACGGGCCTCTGATTGGGAATCCCTGCATGTCCTACACACCAACCTCCGGTACACCCTTAAATAAGTTTTTCAGCCGCCCCCCACCTCACCTCCCCCCTTCCCCCCATTGTGCCGAAGGAACTCCACGCCATATAAATGTTACCATTCTGGAGAAACGCAAGATGATATTGGAAATGAAACTTGCTTTTCCAGGCAGCTTTCAGAAACCGAAACAAACTGAATTGGAAGGAAACACAATCCTTTAAACTGATTATAATATTTTTTTTTTAAATGATACGTGGTTAGTTTGAAAGCCTTCGTGGTCCCTTATCGGTGCTCTCAACACGTCGGGTCCCTTATCTCATCGGGTCCGATAGCCAGGTCCTTTCAGAGGTTAAGAGGATTGTACAAAATTATCGCGGTTTAGGTCGCCCCCCCCCCCCAACGGCTACCTTACACTAAGAAAAAAGCCAGAACGTTCGGGTCCCTTATCTCAACGGGTCCGATAGCCAGGTCCTTTCAGAGGTTAAGAGGATTGTACAAAATTATCGCGGTTTAGGTCGCCCCCCCCCCCCAACGGATACCTTACACTAAGTATAGAGACAGATCGGATGTCCCAGCATCACTACTCTTAGTCGAGGCACTATTTTGCGTCAAAGATAAATGTTGCGATGGACAATTAATTTATTTGTATTAAATTAACAATACTTATTAAAACACCCCTCCCCCCGTGCTTAAAACACTTATTCTGTCTGTCACGCTAAATGTCAACCCCCACGTGATCTCAAGCATTCCACTCGACGTGATCATTTAATCCAAGCCAAGTTATCGAAGGCAAGAGAAGAGTGATATAGAATATTACAGTCTGTAAACTGCCACCCTGCACTCAACGTAGTTTTCAAAGTAATTTTCTAAATATAAATGACCAATGCAGTTAATTTTTTTTCTTGTTAATTGTCTATTGAATGATTAAACATAAAAATGTTACATTAAAGGTTTCTAAATTGATCCATTAAATACTAACTGCAAACATAACTACACTTTGACTTTTTTTTCCCCAGAAATGCTGAAAAAACATTAGACTTACACAATTACTTTCTTCGACAAGCCATGCAAGCGTTCATTAAGTTCTTAAAGGAAAATGAGAGCAGTAGGTACAGATTATTCAACTGGTATTTCAACAACAAAAAAATGATTTAAAAAATTATCAATTTAAAAAAAAATAGTAACAAATACAAAATAAAATGAATGAAATGAAAGAGAGCATAGATGAGTCAAAGAAACTGATTGTCTCTTACATATTCATGAAGATGATTAAGGGAATTTTGATTTTTGTGATGACTTTCGCATCTCTACTGTTGAGGATAATTTAGGGAAACTACATACCATTTTAGCCCATTGTTTTAATTAATTTGTCAATATACATTAACTCCGACGACTATTACGATAAATTAGTTTGTGTCCTATCTTAAGTCTTGTTTTCTGCGAATAAAAAGGTTTGAGTTTAATTTTATTTCCAATGTGCCCCGGGATAAGAGATATTATTTTAAAATATTTACTGCAGGCAAATAACTAGACACGTTTTCTCCCTTAAAACACAGTTTACCATAAGAACAATTGCCGGGAAGCGGACCGATATGTCTACATCATAACAGGACGCGGCCTGCACAGCAAAGATGGGGTTCCAAAAATTAAACCTGCAGTCGAGAGTTACCTTGACAAGCATAAATACAAGTAAGAAGACATGCATACAGTTTTGTGACATAAAGTTTTGTGACATAAAGTTTTTGTGACATAAAGTTTTGTGGCATAAAGTTTTTGTTACATAAAGTTTTTGTGACATAAAGTTTTGTGGCATAAAGTTTTTGTTACATAAAGTTTTTGTGACATAAAGTTTTATGATATAAAGTTTTGTGCCATAAAGTTTTTGTGACATAAAGTTATGTGGCATAAAGTTTTTTTCACATAAAGTTTTTGTGACATAAATTTGTGTGGCATAAATTTGTGTGGCATAAAGTTTTGTGACATAAAGTTTTGTGACATAAAGTTTTGTGGCATAAAGTTTTTGTGACATAAAGTTTTTGTGACATAAAGTTTTTGTGACATAAAGTTTTTGTGACATAAAGTTTTTGTGACATAAAGTTTTTGTGACATAAAGTTTTTGTGACATAAAGTTTTTGTGACATAAAGTTTTTGGGACATAAAGTTTTGTGGCATAAAGTTGTATGACATAAAGATTTGTGACATAAGTTTTGTGGCAAAAAGTTTTGTGACATAAAATTTTGTGACATAAAGTTTTATGACATAAAGTTTTTGTGACATAAAGTTTTGTGGCATAAAGTTTTTGTTACATAAAGTTTTTGTGACATAAAGTTTTTTGGCATAAAGTTTTTGTGACATAAAGTTTTTGTGACATAAAGTTTTTGTGGCATAAAGTTTTGTGACATAAAGTTTTATAACATTAAGATTTGTGACATAACGTTTTGTGACATAAAGATTTGTGACATAAAGTTTTATAACATTAAGATTTGTGACATAAAGTTTTGTGAAATAAAGTTTTGTGGCATAAAGTTTTCTGACATCTACTGCTTAAAAAAATGTTAAAAGTCAAAGTGATAGACCCAACTGTTAGGTCTGAGAAAATCCCTCTTAACTATTTGGTCGTGGCCCGCACTGCAACGATTCGAAGTTATAATTAAACCTGGAGCACAAGGTCACCTCGACATGAAAAGTTGAAAAGTTGGGGAGATCACCGGTTTCAAGCTCCGGGTAGGTGAAGGCAAAGGCGAATCCAATTGACGAAAAACTGAAATTGGACCGCGGAAAACAAGGGCGCAGTTGTTTTTTTTTTAAATAATAATAGTCCACCTGGCCGCCTCTGTTTAGCCGTGTAGATGAGGTGGGATAGAGTCTCCACAACAAAACCCCACCCGGTGCTGGAATAGGTTAGCAGTGACATTGCCTGCATCTATACTTTCATACAGTCTCATTTTTTTTTCCACAATACTATCTAACTTTTCAAGATCAGCAAATGCGCTTAGTTTATTTATTTTTGAGGCAAAAATATCTCTATTTAAAAGACAAAACACAATAATTGTTTAAGCCGTATCTCACAATTCCCTTGACTATTGCTATATTGCTGCTATTCGGTATTTTGTTATTTCTACTCCATATTTTGTATACAACTGGCGTCCTAATTTCCTTCCGATACATCACAAGTTTACTCTATAAAAGCCAAAAATCTCGATCATGACTGCGGCGTCCTTTGAGTTGACTTTATTTTCAGTCATTTTATTTTTTCTTAACAAACCTTAAAAAACTATTTTTTACGTGCGGTTCATTTCTTTTTTTTTCCCCCATAGGAAAAGCTGGGAAAATGCAGGTGGCATGGTTACCGTGGATTTTCTGTCCAGAAAAGGGAAACGATCAAACCAATAGGTCAAGAGTGGTGATTTCCCTTTTAATTTAAAAAAAAAGAAAAGTTAAACTTTGGCCAACCAGGAAATCTTCGTTCTGATGATATTTTACCTGCAGGAAAGCGATGATAAACAAAAGAAATCTCATGATAGACGGCCGTATTACAGTATCCCCGAAAATGCAGGTCCGACAGTTTGGTAAAATAACGGGACACCCTAGTTACCTGCAAACTACAGAAACAAGCGTAGGAGACGATACAATGATGAGGCTTTATGGGTGTACAGATTTTTGAACAGAAACCTCATCTGCCGCGTCACCGCCAGTCGGAATGCAGCACTAAAATTGGGCTGGATTGTCTGGTTGAGCTACAACAATGGGTAACAATGAAGATGTCATAGGGTGCTTTAATTAAGATGACATCACTAGCCCATAATGAAGTGTTTGCTGATTTTGAAGACGAGATCATTAGGTCACAGTGAAGATCACTAAATGACTAAGAACAGATGATATCATTAGGTCAAAGTGAAGATCACTAAATGACTAAGTACAGATGATATCATTAGGTCATAGAGAAGATCACTAAATGACTAAGTACAGATGATATCATTAGTTCACATTGAAGAATACTGAATGGCTAAGTAGAGATGGAATCACTAGGTCAAAATGAAGATATAATTCAATGCCTAGTATTAAATCATTAGATCACAGTGAAAAAACACTAAATGGCTAAATAAGATGAAATAAGAAAATATAAAATAGGATAAATGCTTTTTATTGTCAAAAAAAATGAGAATGCTTTTTTATTACAATTTACAAATATTTAAAAACTCAAATAATTTAACGTTTTTCCCAAGTGCAAAAATCAGCCGTAATATGCCACGGAAATCGATTCCCTTATTTACAATATTGTCTATAAAAGTGATTAATTTGATTTCATATCAGCTGCGGGAAGTAGGCTGGTAAATTATGTTGAATTAGGAAACAGATGAATTTGTATATCTTTTTTTTCCATAAATTTCTGGGAAAGAATTCGCCCTGATCAAAAGGATCTTTAGTAATTGTGATAAAGAGGGTGTTGGATGTGTTCGCCATTTTTTTTTTTTTTTGAGGGGGGGGGGGTAGTTTTTCAAATATAAATTGTTTCATGTAATTTTTCAAGCGAATGTAATTTTGTTTAAGCAATATTGCTTGCTTTCTTAAAAAAATTTAAATGGTGTTTGATGTGAAGCGATATGTTCCCATTCGAACAGGTAATATTTAAGTTCAGTAGGCCTCCAATTGTTGCACTGCAGAATACGTTCATAGTGCGTTTTTAACGCCAAAATTGTGTAATTTTAAACATAATAAAAATACTTTGTTTATTTTTATTTTTTTACATAGAATTAGGCCGGTGTGATGCCACGTCAGCTATATATCAATGGTGGCACCTAGCTACTTATGTGTCTCTACTTGCTCTATGTGGTGACACCTAGATACTTATACGTCCCTACTTGCTATATGTGGTGACACTTATATGTCCCTACTTGCTATATGTGGTGACACCTAGATACTTATATGTCTCTTATAGCTATATATTGTTATTTTTTGATTGTATGATCTGCAACTCCTAACTTAGTTACGTTTTAAAATTGCATTTATATCAGAAAATTTTATTATTGGGATCTTAAAATGATCGGTATCCATTGTATACAGGAGAGGGCAGAGAACACAACCTTGCGGAGCCCCGGTACTTGCGTTTCTAGTTAGGGATATCTGACCATTGACGTTAACATATTGTGGACGATTTTGTAAAAGTTCAGAAACCACGCTTGAACATTTGAATTTACATTTCACGAAGGAGTTTTTAGAAATGGAATTCATTAGAACACAATAACATCTCTGAATCGCTTTGTAGAGATACACGTCTAACTGAAGATCAATCCATGACTTAGAAGAGATGACATCGTATGGTCACAATGCAGAACAAAAATGAGACATTTCTTTTAAGTGACCACGGTGATGCTATCATGATATCATGCTAACATTAGCCGCTGAGAATACCTTCTAAAGAAAAAGAAAACTATTATTTCGTTGCATCTGTTTAAGTTTTCTACACGCGAGGTATGCAAGAATTCAAAATGCCAAAATGTAACATTTCTAAAATCGATTTAGATCTTCAAATCCCTTTTAAAGAAATAAGCAGTTTAGTTAAATAAAACTAGAGTTTGATTGTTTTTTTGTTTTTTTAATCGCATTGTAATTTTTTAACAAACAAATCTCTGAAATATATCATGAATATTGCTCATATTTGCACGAGTTTTTTTTTCTTTTATCTCGCCACCCCCAACTCTCTCTGTCTCCCTCTCTCTCTAGTTCTATGTCTCTCGTTCTCCCTATCGATCTAACTCTTTTTTTTTTTTTTTGTGGTGTGTTTGAAGTTGTGTGATTTTTTTTTCACGCCACCATTTTTTTTCAAAGACCGAAATATGCTTTCAATACTTTTTTTTTTTTTTTTTTTTTTTTTTTTCCTTTTTTTTTTAATTTTTTTTTTTTTTTTTGTTGTGTGTCTGAAGTTGTGTGAATATTTTTGCACGCCACCATTTCTTTACAAAGACCGAAATATGCTTTCAATACCACATTGTTGGTGACGCAAAGAAATGTTTTCAATACCACATTGTTGGTGACGCTAAGAAATGTTTTCAAAACAACATTGTTGGTGACGCTAGGAAATGTTTTCAATACCACATTGTTGGTGACGCAAGGAAATGTTTTCAATACCACATTGTTGGTGACGCTAGGAAACGTTTTCAATACCACATTGTTGGTGACGCTAAGAAATGTTTTCAATACCACATTGTTGGTGACGCTAGGAAATGCTTTCAAAACCACATTGTTGGTACACGCTTGGAAATGTTTTTAATACCACATTGTTGGTACACGCTAGGAAATGCTTTCAATACCACATTGTTGGTACACGCTAGGAAATGTTTTCAATACCACATTGTTGGTGACGCTAGGAAATGCTTTCAATACCACATTGTTGGTGACGCTAGGAAATGTTTTCAATACCACATTGTTGGTGACGCTAGGAAATGTTTTCAATACCACATTGTTGGTGACGCTAGGAAATGTTTTCAATACCACATTGTTGGTGACGCTAGGAAATGCTTTCAATACCACATTGTTGGTACACGCTAGGAAATGTTTTCAATACCACATTGTTGGTGACGCTAGGAAATGCTTTCAATACCACATTGTTGGAACACGCTAGGAAATGTTTTCAATACCACATTGTTGGTACACGCTTGGAAATGTTTTCAATACCACATTGTTGGTACACGCTAGGAAATGCTTTCAATACCACATTGTTGGTACACGCTAGGAAATGCTTTCAATACCACATTGTTGGTACACGCTTGGAAATGTTTTCAATACCACATTGTTGGTACACGCTAGGAAATGCTTTCAATACCACATTGTTGGTACACGCTAGGAAATGCTTTCAATACCACATTGTTGGTACACGCTAGGAAATGCTTTCAATACCACATTATTGGTACACGTTGGGAAATGCTTTCCATACCACATTGTTGGTACAGGAAATGTTTTAAATACCACATTGTTGGTACACGCTAGGAAATGTTTTCGATACCACATTGTTGGTACACGCTAGAAAATGTTTTCGATACCACATTGTTGGTACACGCTAGGAAAAGTTTTCAATACCACATTGTTGGTACACGCTAGGAAATGTTTTCAATACCATTTTGTTGGTACACGCTAGGAAATGTTTTCAATACCACATTGTTGGTACACGCTAGGAAATGTTGTCAATCCTAAAACAAGCTAAATTGGCGTGTCTTCTGGAATGATATAATCTCGTAATTATTTACCCCGGTAACTTGACCTTGGTGTGATCAATCATGAATTTCAATTTATTGATCTGAAATAATAAAATAAAAAAACAATATTTTATTTTTTTTTTTTTTTTTTTTTTTTTTTTTGGTAGGGGTTGGGGTTAATCTATTTTTAAAAACGTATCTTTTTTCTGTTTTTGTACGACTTTACTCCCGCCCCTAATTTCAACTTGATGGAAGTGATGTTCAGTAAATGATACATCTCCATTAACTTTTCTCTTGACTTAGTGCTTGCTTTGCGGATGAAGAGCGTGTGGGGGAGGGGTGGGTGGGTATCTGGGATTTAACGGGATCCGTTAAGGAGATTAAAGGAGATAGGGCGGGAAAGAGGGTTTAGTCACAACCCCAAAAAAGGTTCATGTCCAGTGTCGGACTGCGACACAACGTTCATAAAGATTAATTAGACACGAACAACTTGTGTCAATAATATAAGACAAGTTCAGCTTTCATAATGATCACACAGAGTGAACATTTCGGGAAATGCCTTCATCAGTACACAACACACATAGATACACCCAAAAAAAAAGCATTCATACAAGTATAAATTAAATTTACAATATATACACATTTATGCATACATCCTGCCTAAAATGAGAGCAAAGAATAAAATTGGACGCAAGTCACTGACAGTGACAGAAACAAAAGTTCAGAAGAAAGGAAAGCACGTTGGTGGACGTGGGAGTTAAAAACGAAACAAGAAAGACGTTTTGTTAGAGACTACCGATGTCGCAGGTTGGAGAAGGACGTTTGAAGAGGGTTTTGTGTTGATGTGGAAAGGACTTGGTAAGGAAGGCAAAGAAAGGGGGAGGGGGTATATTTTTGAGCCTGTGATGGTGATATCACGGACGTGTGAATTTATTTCATTTATTTAGACTGTATCTAAAAAATTAGACGGTATTGACGACAGCGTGTCTCAAAGATGTGTTCATTAATTTATTATACATAACTTATCAACAGTATTGGTGAAAATGGGGATGGGGAGCTTATTGCTCGTTATGGCACAGGATAACACTTAAGCAAAAAATCTCCAATTGTTTGTTAGTAGCGTAAATAATAGTTGCACCAAAGGCCCGGTTGTTACCCTAGGCCTCCTTGTCACCCGAGGCCCACTTGTCACACTAGGCCTACTTGTCACCCTAGGCCCACTTGTCACCCTAGGCCCAATAGTCACCCTAGGCTCACCTGTCACCCTAGGCCCACTTGTCACCCTATGCCCACTTGTCACCTAAGGCCCACTTGTCACCCAAGGTCCACTTATCACACTGGGCCCACTTGTCACACTAGACCCACTTTTCACCCTAGGCCCACTTGTCCCAATAGGCCCACTTGTCACATTAGGCCCACTTGTGACTCTTGGCCCTCATGTCACCCTAGACCCAATTGTCACCCTAAGCCCGCTAATCACCCTAGGCTCACTTGTCACCCTAGGCTTACTTGTCACCCTAGGCCCACTTGTCACCTAAAGCCCACTTATCGCTCTAGCCAACCCAATGTCTAGCCTTGGGCACATCTTCAAACGGTTGTCCGGCGTTTCTGGTGCCAGTGTTCAATGCCGTCAGTTCAGCTCCCTATTGTGGTCTAGCCTGTCATTTTAAGACTTTCAGTCACTCAGCTCTGTTGAGGGTGCTTCGGCTTCCACCAAAGATCGGACTTGTTTGGCCTGGGCATGTTAGCGTGAATGTCTCAGCCTGTAGTGCTGTCTGTCCAATGCCGGTACTGCATAGACCTCAATACTTCCACAGCTTTCCATGAAAATTAAACAAACAGATCCATTCGCAGAGTAAATTTAAAATCAGAATGTTGCAAAATTACCGGAATGCAGTTTGTTTACGTATAAGACTTGAATGTCACATTACGATCAATTAATTTTTTTTTTCCTTTATAAAACCTTTAAATATGTAATATTGAACAACTGGGGGCGGGGAGGGGGGTTGTAGGCTAAAATGTTGGCTAAACATGAACGCATAATCGCATTTTGTAATAATCCAAATAAGTGCACCCACCTTAAGGCTCGCGACCGCATATTATTTCACGCCCCTTTAACTAAATTAATAGTGTTAGGGCCCACCCGCTTTTACATCTAATTTTATTACACCAAGCATTTCTGTAAAATAAAAGAAACTATTACGCACCAAACGCACTGTCGATATTTATAAGAATCTCGTTTAGCGCTGTTATCGGGAATTTTATTTCTCGAAATCAGTGTCATTTGGTGGCGTTAGAACTAATTTTACGGGTTTAGGGTGGAGGGGTAGGGCTTCAAATTTTACAGAATCTTTTGTCATGAGTGCCAAGTTTCAGCCCGAAAGGATGACGGGAATTCGGTTATTATTCGTCGAAGATTTTGCTTTAAATATGCACATGAATAAAATCGAATGGATTTAGAAATAAATCACAGACAAAGGACACATGCCCCAAAGCACTGAATAGAATAAAGTGATGAATATTTTTTACTAGTCATCGCTCGCCAAACATTGGCTAAAGCAAGGCGTGACCTTCCCATCTACTAAAATTACTTGACAAAACATGAGCTCATTTAACGCACATTTAAGAATCTAAATTTTTGATACACACCCCCCCCCCCAAATGATACGTCACTGCACACTTTTTATTTCACGCCAATGAACTATATTAATATTCTGATGTCCAAACCACTTTTAAATCGAAAGTTTATACACAATATTTAAATTGAGACGACTTCATTTTCAGAAAAGAAAATATCACGCACCAATCGTTATTATTTTTTTTTTTTTTAAATCATTTAGTGTAGTTATTGGGGATTATATTTTGCGCGCTATCCAGAAATGGAAGCAGTCACACCAGAAGCTAAATATATGTAAGATGTGTTTCATATTTTTGAACAAAAAAATGGTGTATGATTGGAAATATGTTGTTATAATATGGGAACAAGTATTTAGCTCGGATCAAATGAATTTGATATATATTATTTACCCTGTACGAGACACCAAAAATAAACTTCATCCTTTTTTCTAAATCCTTTATATTAACTTCACTTTTGTTGGTGGCTGACTGAGTGGCAGGGAAAACTTCGGACGGCTAACGGACTAAACTTCCGTCAAACTATTGAACTGCAACTTGGCAAGAAGACTTGTTGCCAATGGCAACATAATCTTTCAAATTCCAGAACCAGCCACAAACCAACAAAATCAATTGTTCCTGTATATCAAAAGGAACACGAAGCAATATAACGACACTGATTTCATGAATTAAAACTCCCGATAACTGCGCTAAATGAGATGGGTTTTTTTTGTTTTTTTATATATCGCAAGTGCTTTTGATGCGTAATATTATCTTTTACTTTTTTCTGAAATTGTTGTTGAAATAAATCTGTTGTGTAAAAACGGATGGGACATTATAAAATTAAAATAAAATTTAAAAAAAAAAATGAATATAAAAGATTTATATAAAAATTTAGTTTTTTAGGGTGTGTTTAATTAGAGTTTAGGCCGAAATGTACTCTCCATGCCTTAAGACGCAGCGTTATTCGTTTGTTACAATTTAGTGCTTGTCAAGGCTAATTTAAGATAGAAGTAAACGGGGATATATGAATGTTTTTTTTTTTCTTTTAAAGGTACTAACAATTGATCAAAGTCACATAAATTATCCAGGGCCACCACCACCCCCACCCAGAGGCGTAGCGAGGGGGTTTGGCAGGGGAGACAGATGTCCCCGGGCGCAAGCTATTTAGTGGGCGCAAAAATTTGCTTTGATATTATGTGATTGGTAAAAATAATGGGTTTGAGAGTTGAAAAAAAAGAAAAGGGGGCGCTTTAAAATGGATCTTGTCCCCGGGCACGAATCTTGTCCCCGGGCGCCAAGCACCCTCGCTACGCCTCTGCCCCCACCACCCCCACCACCCCCCTCCTTTCATTTGATCAGAAAAATCTGTTAGGAACTAGTTCCACGCATGTTGGGTGATACGGTCGATAACCGTGGTTCATTTACGTGCGTTTAGCAAACGTTGGGGGTCGACTTTACGATAGTGTACACACACAGAATATGTGTTACGTCTCATAACATAGGAATTACATGACGCTTTCGTCGAGTCAGATGTCACGGCTGTTGTGTTTATAAGGACAGGCCGCGTAAACTTTCGCTTTCGTCGAGTCAGATGTCACGGCTAAAGTGCCCTTAACAGAAATGGCTGTTCTGAAAGATGAATCAGATCATTTTTGTAAAATAATAAATGCGTTCATATTTTTTTTTAAAAACTTTTAGAGAGTACACGTTCATACTCAAGGTGAAAGAATGGAGGTCACTCACGTAATGATTATTGTAGCAGCGCTGTTGGGAATCACTTTCGCAGTCATTATTATTTTGGTAAGTATATACAATTTGAAAATGACGACTCTTCCACATGTCGAGGTAGCAATTCTAAAGCCATGGACGTCAGGGCGAGGAGATTGTGATATCGAAATAGTTTCTGATCTTTAATATCCTCAACAAAAATTGAACGTTCGTACGAGTCGTGTGATTTATTTCCTAGTTGGAGCGTTGCGTCAAACAAATGGACAGGATTGCCTGCCCTTTCATCGGCGAGCAGTTTATTTAATTCATGTATAAGAGAGATTCAGCGTGAATCTTGTCTAATTCATGTAAACAATAGATTTAACCTGAAGCTTATATGATTTATGTTCAAGATAGATTCAGCGTGAAGATTATCTGATTCATGTATAAGATAGATTCAGCGGGCGCGAAACATTTACAAAAAAAAATATTGGTGATTTTAAATGAAATTAAAATAGCAGACTTTCAGCACACTTCAACATCTTGTTCAAAAACCTCGTTGAATGTAGAAATTTGTCTTTTAAAAATAAGCCATGTCGTATCCTCATCAGATTCCTGTCCCTTGCTTACACATTTTTTTTTTACTAAATACACATTTCAAAATTATTTTTTTATTGAAATGTATGCGCAGTATATGTATTACAATGAGATAATGACATTATGGAAAAAAACCTGACAGATACTTGTGTTAAAAAAAGACACATTCCAACGCTTTTTAATGAAAGACAGACAGATCATAATATCGTCATGTTTTAAAATGTTTTTTTTTTCCAGTGTTCCTGCTGCCTTTACTCATCGCGGTGCAAAAACTGTCGAAGAAAGGAGAATCAATCCGGGGTATGGAGACATTATTGCTGTCGTATTGAAGACAATGTGTTTTACCTTGAGAATTAATACTAACACATATTTTAAATAACAATGGATAGAATATCCTCTACCTAGCCTTTCTGTTTCAAAGAGCACTGTATTTTGTTTACAGGGATTCTCCTACAGGGCACAGGTGGATGATGACGTCGAGCAGCAATCGAACATTTCATCATTGACACCGTGGTCTCGTACTTCACAAGCATCGACCTCGCGCGGAGTAAGTGCAGACGAACAGCAGCGCAGAATAGCGCTTTATCAGAAAACTATTCGTAGAGCGCAGGTTCTAGAGGAGCAGCGCAGAGCGTGGCAGACTTCACCACAGCAAACTCTGGGCCAGGTGTGCAATCATCAGCTGAGAGAGCTGCCGCGTCAACAGCAGGTACCTCGAGAACATCCTCTACAAAAGAAATATATAGAACAGCAGCGCCAACTGCCGGTGCGTCGAGAACAGCTTCTACAGAAGCAATATATTGAACAGCAGCGCCAACAGCCGTTTCGCCAAGCTGTGGGGATAAAAGAAAATTTGTCTCAACGACAGCCGCGTCCAGTCGCCGCCTCGCCAGATCAGATCTGGAACGAGAACAACTTTGGAGGACGAGGCTCTCGGAGAAATAGGTCAAGGCCAAAACACAGAAGCCAAAGTTTAAGCAGATTAGAGTCTAGTAAAAGAGCCCCTAACAAATACATAAGGTGGGTTACTGTGCTTGTCTCGTGAGTGTGGTTTGTGTGTTACGTGGGAGATAAGCAGTGGCGTAGCTAGGGTTGGTGTCACCCGTTGCGGTAAAATCATGGTGTCAACTCGTCCCCCAAAACTCCCACGATTGATTTCTTCTTCTTAAAATAAGTCCGCAGTATAACAATGACCAAGACAAAAACAAATTAATGGAAGGTCAGGGGGGTGAATGTATTTAATAACTTTATCAACGGCTAAGCTATATAAATATGTTTACATTAAATTTACTTTACTTAAAAATATTCCCATGCTGGTAGTAAAAGCTGTAAACCTGTCAATCGCTTGATCAATATCATTCACCTTATCACTTTCAATTGATAGTAGAGCCAGATCAGAAAGCCATGGTGGATCGCAAATAGTTCTTGATAAGCCTTAGTCTTGAAAGTCTACGCTCACCTGAAGCCAAAGACACACAGATGGTAAGAAACAATTGAACGCTTACGGTAGCTAGAGTATTGGAAGGAATTATGGAAGGCTCTGCACCTGACTATATAAAAGAACTGATTTCCAAACACGTATCCTTAAAGAACTAGCGCTCTTCAACAAAGTCCCTACTGAGAGTTCCCAGTGTGGATGGACACAGAAAGAAGTCATACGGAGTACGCTCTTCAACAAAGTCCTTACTTAGAGATACCAGTGTGGATGGACAGAGAAAGAAGTCATTCGGAGTGCGCTCTTCAACACAGTCCCTGCTGAGAGTTCCCAGTGTGGATGGACACAGAAAAGAAGTTATTCGGAGTGCGCTCTTCAACACAGTCCCTACTGAGAGTTCTTAGTGTGGATGGACACAGAAAGAAGTCATTCGGAGTGCGCTCTTCAACACAGTCCCGACTGAGAGTTCCCAGTGTGGATGGACACAGAAAGAAGTCATTCGGAGTGCGCTCTTCAACACAGACCTTACTGAGAGTTCCCAGTGTGGATGGACACAGAAAAGAAGTTATTCGGAGTGCGCTCTTCAACACAGACCTTACTGAGAGTTCCCAGTGTGGATGGACACAGAAAGAAGTCATTCGGAGTGCGCTCTTCAACACAGACCTTACTGAGAGTTCCCAGTGTGGATGGACACAGAAAGAAGTCATTCGGAGTGCGCTCTTCAACACAGACCTTACTGAGAGTTCCCAGTGTGGATGGACACAGAAAGAAGTCATTCGGAGTGCGCTCTTCAACACAGACCTTACTGAGAGTTCCCAGTGTGGATGGACACAGAAAGAAGTCATTCGGAGTGCGCTCTTCAACACAGACCTTACTGAGAGTTGCCTGTGTGGAAGGACACAGAAAGAAGTCGTACGGAGAACCCTCTTTGAAGCTCTAGTGCCTAAATTATCTAACAGTTTGCCTCAATCTTTGAAGGAAACTGAAAAGGATACAAAATAAATTAAGAACCATTGAAAGATGTTTTTCTTTAAATAGATCTGATGACGTCAGAGCGCCGTCAGTGTTCTAGACAAGCTTGGCCACAAAAGCGCTATGGAATTAATCTATCATCATCACCATCATATTAGAACCTACTGTTTGCTTGTATTACAATCTACTTGTGAAATTTGAGAATTCAGTTCATTAGAGGCTTGGAACAAATCACTAGGATGACACCCCCACCCCCCCCTCCATATATATTTCTCTTATGTGTTCAGACACTCTCAGGGTCATGGGAATTGGGGGGGGGGAGGTGTTCATCCTAGCAATTTGTTCCCATGGCCCCTGAGCGTGTTTGAACACATAGGAGAAATATATGTTTTGGGGAGGGGGGGGGGAATTATTACTGCTATAACATTATATTCACGTTTAAAGTTAGTATTCAACTTACATTTAAATTAAGCCAACGCAGCAATGAAAAGTCATAGCGTACAAGTCAAAGAAATAAATGAATCGTCTGAAAATACTTGTCCATCTGTTACGCTAGTGTCCAGCACTGGCGATGTCCGGATCAATTACTCCAAGAGGAGAAGACTAGAGTGGTGATTTATGCAGAGTCTGTTAAAGTTCCACTCTGCACACTCATTTTTTTCCAAATTTAAATTAACAACGCATTGAAAAGGAAATTGTTTTGTATTCAACTGTATAATTATTGTTAAACGTGTCGGTATTAAAGAGCAGATGTGTATTTAATCTTTTGGGTTCTCTGCAATTAGCCAATAAAAACTTATCTGAATTTTTGGACTTGGTTGTTGTTGTTTTTTTCTTTCAGAAATGAAGAAAAGACATTAGACTTACACAATTACTTTCTTGCGCAGGCCAAGCAAGCTGTCATAAAGTTCATCAAAGAAAATGAGAAAGGTGGGTGCAGATTGTTTAACGACAATATCGGAAAAAGTATACAAGACGTGTACAAATAATGTTTTTTTTTTTAAAAACTGAAAATCCTTCCTGCAGCAATAAAAATTTAACCCCAACGGACTTTTGATATTTAAATGTGATATTTATAATGGGATATTTATTATTTGATATTTATTATGTGGTAATTATAACGAGATATTTATTATGTACTCCACATGCATTTACTGGTATTGGATTTAGGATCCTTAGGGATGGCACTTATGTTCTGTTAAATTATTTTATTCAATGATTATCACAAAAACTGCGTGCATTTATGACAGTTATGTTTCAAATATGTATATTTATATATTTTTAAAAAACCTAAAGTTTCTAACTAACATGTTATTTTATTATTTTTTTTATTTGTTTGGGTTAAAATTTATGCAGCATTTTAACGCACGCTAACAATATTTCCCATCTCTCTCTCTCTCTCTCTCTCTCTCTCCGCCCCTCTTTCTAAACTCCCCCAAAAAAACAGTTTACCATAAGAACAATTACCGTGAAGAAGACCGATATGTCTACATCATAACAGGACGCGGCCTGCACAGCAAAGATAGGGTTCCTAAGATTAAACCTGCAGTCCAAAGTTATCTTCACAAGCATAAATACAAGTAAGAAGAAACTTATACAATTATGTGAAATCTGCCCTCTTTAAAAAAAGATATACAAAATGTGGTTGTCACACCAGATGAGTGAGGGAGACATCTCATATCAACGAAACTCACGGTCTCCTCAGAAAACAGGATTCGCTTCCAAAACCACGAACCTGATCACTTTTTTTTCCTTATCGCGTTGACGAAGTTTATGAAAGTGCCCCAACCATCCCCCACCCCACGCAGGAGTATGTTACTATGAACATGTGACTTCGTCTATAGTAGTCTATACTTTAAAATGGGTCTCCTTTTAAACGGGCGAGCAATGGCGCATATGGGTGCTCGATGAGAAAAAAAGACCTCCAGCAGCTGGGAGTCCAAGCATGGAACAAAAAAGCATCCGTTAGGTCTGAATGGAAAGAAAAAGAGATGAGGCAGATCAAGGCCCTTAATGGGCGCTAAAGTGATGGATGGATGTTGTGAGTGCAAGGGCGTGTTAAGGCAGGCCAAAGCCCTTCATGGGCTGTGCGCCGGTGGGGGGATGGGTGGAGTATAACGATTAAAAGTCCTAATGTCTTCCCGATGCATCGCAGGCTCACATTTAAATCCCGCATCTTGAAAACGTATGTCTGTTCTTTGCGGTGCAACATAATTTGATTTATCTTGAATGTTTAAACAACCTCATCGACTCATAATTTTTTTTTCCAATCCGTTAGGAACAGCTGGGACGAGCCAGGGGGTATGGTGACAGTGGAGTTTCTGTCAAATCAAAGAAATCCTCTCAAAACAATCAGTCAAGAGTGGTGATGTCATTCTGTATTCAGCACGTCTTTTTTTTTGAGTTCGGCAACCCACGATAGGTCCATTATAATATTTTAACAGTTACCTACCAGCATGTTGTGTAAAATTCTTTGCCTTGCGCGTGTTGATTTGCAAAAGACTAAAGTCAACTTGTCCAGCAGTCTAAAATGGCCCAATTTAGGTGGAAGGTATTCTAAACTTAAACACTGATGCCACGTCATTATTGTTATTTGCGCTTAGAGTCAGAAATACGCTGGCCTGAATACCTTAGTGGAGATGGCATCATCAGGTCACGTTGGACGTAACTGAATAGCTTAGATCACTAAATAACGTAGTGGAAGAGACGTCGGTCGATCACACTGCAGATCGCTGAATGACTTAGTGGAAATCACAAATCAGCAGTTGCGTACCTTGACAAGATTCCACAAAAGTCAGGCTCCCAGTAGCACGGATTGACTCATACACATTATTTTGTATGTTATATACAAACTCCTACAGTGTCGCCTGGGGGTTGGTCAACCCCTTTGCATCCTTTAGTTACGCCACTGCAATACAGATAACCGAATGGGTCAGTTTAGTGGTTACAAGAAAGATAAGTCAGATGTCATGACAGTTAGGACGCCGATTTCAAGAATTTACAAGATCGCAACATACAAAACCACTAAGCAGGCAATTTGGAGGAGATATTTACCTTCATTGGTGTATATATATATATATATATATATATATATATATATGATATATTAATTTATTAAAGAACTATAAATGTGAATGTTTCTTCCAATTTAGTAATCACTTTCAACTCTTTTTATCGCACCATTTATTTTACTTATTTGTCTTTCTGTCTATTTTAATTTATCTTATTCTCGACATGTCTTATTAATTAATACTGTTCTTTTAGTTTTCCTCTGTATTTCTCTGCCTGCTGCCTCTCTCTCTTAATCTGTCTCTCTTTTTCACTCTAATTGTCTCTCCCTGTCTTTTCGCTCTGGTTTTCACTCTGTACATGTCCGTGTAGTGTGTGTGTCGAAAAGGGGGGTGGGGGTGATAAGAGTGATCAACGCTAAGCAATATAGCCTATGCCAATAGTAACACTTCTGAAAACAAAAAGACCGAGATTTTTTTTTATTGTCAGCTTTTCTGTGAAATAAACCAACATACACCTAGTAGCGTGTTGATTCACGGATGCGTAACGTTGCGTTCATAATCTCCACCGCCTGGCTGTGGACTTTGTCGATATCCATCAAGTAGATTTTCAAACCAATCACTGAACAATGGTTGCTGCAGACTCCTGCATAAGGAAACTATCTTTTGGCATAATAGAGGCACGATTCTCGGCGGTTCTTACAATTATAGTATTCTCCTATCCCCCACCAGTAAGGGAGTGAAAAATCAAGGGGAGTTGGACGGGTTTGAAATGTCAGTAACACGAGAAAGGATTCGTCCAGGAAAGTTGTTTCTGCAGCATGGCAATTGCGACCAAAGTGGCATTGCTCGTCGCCCGTCCTGTTGCTACCACATTCACATTCACATTTATATTTCTTTAATAAATTTATATATCATATATATATATACACCATTTGAAGGTTCCTTTCACGACTGTACGTTCTCAAATCCTGAAGCAATCGATGGATGCACCATGCCCCTGTGGCGTTCTCGTGTCGTGATGAGCATCACCATGTACATTCTAAATAAAATAGGCGGCTGATATAACGTGTGCTCAAACGGCTTACCTTATCTTCACATGTGCTCTGTGTAGCGATTTCTGGACAGTAACATCTAGGCGCTCAAAACCTAGGAGAATTACTATAGCCCTTCAAGACCCTGTGCCCTTCGTCCGAGAAACACACATTCCTAAAATAATAATACGAATTCTCCTACGCCATAGCAAAACTGCTCCCCAAATACACCCAAGTCCTTAGAAAAACGCCGAATGCAAGTATCGCTGATGTTCATTTGCAAAGATTTTGGTCGTAAGCTTAGTAGCAGCGAGTGCAGAATCTCCCGCAAAAGACATGCGGGGTTATAATTTGTCAAAACAGATCTTGGCTAACCAGTCTCACCCCTCCGTTGAGACAGTACACTTCCGCTGAGACAGTACACTTCCTTTGAGACAGTACCCTTCCGGTGAGACAGTACACTTCTGTTGAGACAGTACACTTCTGTTGAGACAGTACACTTCTAATGAGACAGTACACTTCTGTTGAGACAGTACACTTCTGTTGAGACAGTACACTTCTGTTGAGACAGTACACTTCTGTTGAGACAGTACACATTCAAAAAAACGAAATTTCTCAACAATAGTCAGCATAACCGTTTTACTTGGCCTCTATAATGAAAATGTTTTCCTATATAGAGAGACCCATTCCCAACAACTTCCCAACAAAGCTTCCTCGACACCCCTGGGAAAACGGGACGGCTGGAGCTATGCGCCGTTGAAAAACACACGTACGCATGGAAGGTGCGGGCGTTTCAGTAATTTTACTTTTCGCGCATAATTTATAATAATATAGATGCACGCTAAACCGTTAAAATAACATTAAGTTTTCTGTACCAAAGTATTTTGTACAGACAAGAAACGTATTTAATATTAAATTTTCGTAACATTTGTGATTTCTTGAAATATTTTATTTCTTAAGCCGTGTGAATTAGTTGTCAGAAGTTATTGTACTTCTCTATTGAATTGTGGTTTTATTTAATTGCCTTAATTAAACGAATTTTTAACATTTTGAATACTTCAAGTAAACTCCTTTTTAAATGAATGTATATATATATATANATATATATATATATATATATATGTATATATATATACATATATACATATAAATATATATGTATTCAAGTGTGTGGCTCGGAGCTAAGAAACAGTTAATACGTGAACTAAACCAAGAAATAAATACAAACCTGTGTCAAATTTGTATCACTTTATTCACTGAACGTGAATGTCTGACGTGCTGGTAGGGGAAACAAAAGCCTCTCTGGGCATTTTAAGTTGTTGCCCTCTTGACAGCTTTTCATATTATAGTACAGCAATGTGGAGTTTTGTTTATCTTGCTCTACGGTGCGAATGTTTCTTCGAATGTATCAGCAAGCTGCCGTCGCATTTCGTCAACAGAACTCATTTGGCATCCCAAAATATAAAGCTGAAAAAGGTTGGGGCTAATACAAGAAAACTAACCTTACGTAGTTTATTCTGAATGACACAAGCGATTGTTTTACAACAGATGAGTCCCACATGTCTCATGCTCAAAGTGCGCGGGGTGGCACCGAGATGTCTTACGTGGAAAGGGGCCATTCATAGGCGCTTCAACGGGTAAAATAATTCCCAACTCTAACTATATCTGTTAATAACAGAGAAACACTAGTAGGCATTATCTACACCAGGGGTCGGGAACATTTATTGTCTGAGAGAGCCATGGACACCGCATATTTTGAAAAGTAATTCTGTGAGAGCCATATATTAGGTTTGAAACTAAAAATTCAAGAAAATGTGTGTATTTTGTGTAATTTCAACACTAAAAATGCAATAATTATGTCTCTGAATTCTTTTTAATAAAAATTCTTTGAAAAAGAACAACATCAAAGTCTCTATTTACTGTTCATATTGCAAAGGTCAATCCTACATTTGAGGCTAGTTATAAAATTTCCTTACTCATCGTTAAATCTGGGAAAATCATACTATAGGAGAGAATTTAATTAAACCATCAATATCGGCATTGCTTAAAACGGTTCTGAAAAAGATGACAAAGACGTGCAAGCTACGCCACTTAGTGACAATATTGTTAGCAGAAGACTAGGCGAAATGAGTGAAGATATTATAATACGACTTAAAACTTGTTGAAAAGCTGAAAACAAGAAAATTCTCAGTGCTAACAGATGAATCAACTTTGAGAGACTGTGAAGCTGTATTGATAACTTACGTCAGATATATTGATAAAGGAGATTTTGCTGAAAAATAAATGTTCCCATGTAAATCATTAGAAAGCACTACTATCGCCAAATACATATATAATATATATATATAATAAGCTACACAATTACTTAGATGTCAATAACATACCAAGTATAAATATAACATCTTGTGCTGCAGTTGGTGCTCCTGACATGACGGGCATGAAAAGTGGTTGCTTAAATTTGATGAAATATGAGAATCCAGAAATGCTTCTTGTTCAAGTATTAGATCTATACATTGGGAAAACCTAGTAGCTAAAAACATTTTGCCTGCTCTATATGAAGTAATACATTCAGTTACAAAGTGCATCAACGCTATCAAAGCGAACGCCGAACGTGAACGTCTCTCCAAGCTGTTTTATGAAGACCAAAATGCAGACTGATGTGACAGTTTTACCTCGCACTGATATAAGATGGCTTTCGAAAGGGAATTGCTTGAAAAGATTTATGGATTTGATACACTTGCGATTTTTTTCTAGTTACAAACCTGATATGAAGTATTTGTTAACGGTCGACGGTAGAGCATTTGTGAGTTGTTTAGCCGACATCTTTAAAAAAACTAAATATTTTTAATAACAATCTTCAAGGAACAAATTTTAATAAAACGCTTGTCGATGCAGAAGCGAAAATGTATTTGGTTTCCTTACCTTTAATGAATTATGTCCAAAAAAAATATTTTACAGCAAAAATTTAGAAAAGTTCTTTTGGCTGCTAAAATATAACCACTGTACTTGTTATTGTCGATCATCTGAAAAGTATATCAGCTAATTTAAAAGAAAGATTTTCTGATTTAAGACAAATTTATTTTCCAACTTGGATGATACAGCCAATGTTATTGGATTCGTCTGATATTTAAAAATGCATTTATCAAGAAGAACTTGTAGAAATGAAAAATGATGAGTCTGTTAAAACTGTATTTAATGTAAAAGGAGCGATGGCTTGGCTTTGTGGGGAAAGAGAAATCAACTATTCAAATCTCAACAAAAAATTCAACCAAGTATGCAAGAGCACTAATGTTACCGTTTCCATCTTCATACTTAGCTAAATATGAATACAGTGCCACAAATGATTTGTTGCAAAAAAATATGGAAATTTGTTTGGATATAACTGAACGGGGTAAATTGAAACTGAAGCTAAATAAATTTTTTAAACAAAACAACGGGGAGACTTGAGACTGAAGCTAACTAAATTGGGAGCCTACATAAAATCTCTTTGCAGCAAGCATCACGCACAGACATCTCACTAAATTTAAATAATAAGTCATTACTAATAACTAAAATAATATAGAAACATCTTTCATTAACTTATTTCGAACCTTAATTTCAGATCTCCATTATATGTTTTGAAAATGCACTTACTATGTTTCCTCACCAATTTCCTAGCGATGTCTTCCTAAAAGTTATGATTTAAGCTTCTGCAGAGAACAACGCTATTTTGGAATATCAAAAACTATGTATAATGATACATTTGGGGTAGGGGGAGGGGATAAGAATTTTAAAAAGGCTTAGGTAGGGCATGGCACAAAAAAGTTTTCGAAACAATGCATTCTATTAACTTTGTCTTGTGTGTTTCTTAATGGCAAAATTTTCAGATGGCAAACTGACCCACTTGACATCAACCTATTGAGCTGAAACTTGGCACATAAAATTATCTCTAATGACAACATTATTTAAAATCCAATTTTCTACCCCCCCCCCCCCCTCATCCCAACACCAACCACCCCCCCCCAAAAAAAATTTTTTTTAAAAAAATCAGTTTTTCACGGGGAACTTTTCACGAAATAAAAGTCTCGATAGCTGAGCTAAATTAGATGTACAAAAAAACAAAATTTCGCAAGGGTGTTAGGTGCGTAATATTTTCTCTTTTTTTCTGAAATAGTGAAAGACATTTGCAGTGTAAAAGCGGGTGGGTCATTAGAATATACATATAGTGCAGGGCGAGAAAAAAATGTGTGAATGTGAGCCTTTAAAAGGGGGTGGGGGTAGCACTTATTTGGATTCTTATACTGCGCCTTAAATGTAAGAATGTTTTGTCCCAATTTTTAGCCCTCACCCATCCACCCCCCTACTGCTTGACATTACATTTCATAAAGGATTTATACAAAAAATACTTATTTTTATTGATTTTTTTTATTTTAATAACTAAAATTGTGTCTACTGAAACTAGACGATTTCTCAAGTTGTGCACCTGAAAGTAAAATATATTTGTATTTTCTTTATGTCTCTGGGGTTAGGGTTAGGTTTTAGGGTTAGGGTTACAGTTGGGGAACACAAAAATTAAAGTGAGCTTTGCTGGGTTTTTATTACATCATCTTGGATTGTCAAAATCACTTTTCTTAGAGGAATACCTCGAGGCAGAGGAGTCACTAAGGTTGGTGTCAACAGCTGCGGTAGACTAAGGGTGTCTCCCCCACTTCCTTGGATTACACTCTCCCCATGCGTGTGACGGGTAATTCTTTACTAAATCATGCAGAACTCGCTTTTATTTTCGTTTCTCAAGAAGTTTTAAGGCATAAGATGAACTAACCAGAAAACATAGAATATTGAGGTAATATTGTTTTTAAAAAAAAAAAACCCTCAAAAATTGAAATGTTTACAGCCTGAGGCAAACTTGTCCAAACTTCATCAAAATCAACACTCTTCACCTTAGCACGTTAAATGTACACAATCGCAAGAGTAGAAAGCCTGCTATTTTTAATGTTAGATCTTAAATAGTTCTTTAAAATTACTACAGTACTGAAAAGTTCCTTTCACATTTGTAACACAAATTCACAGACGCACACATCGTGAGAAATACTCCAAGACGCAAAGAGAGTATTATATCTATGACAATCTTCTCTTTCGCATGATGCCTTGAACGCTTATCAACTTAATCTGAGATTTTTAAAATTATTTTTTAATGCAAGATAAGATAACAACTCTTTAAATCTGGTGGCACCCTGTTTTTGTTTTTAACTTATCTATGGTAAGAAAGCAAACATGGCGAGCTCTGCAAATTTTCAATTTTAAATTCTGTGTCAACCACATCTTCCCTGTGAGGGTGCATTCAGCATCCCTGTTGTGACGCCACTGCCTCAGGGTTATAACGCTATGCGTGTTCTTTTATTAGGGTGCCAGGCTTTGATCCAGTGGATGAACGTGGATTAGCGTGTAAGTGAGAGAGAGAGAGAGAGAGAGAGAGAGAGAGAGAGAGTGATTGGCCTTTGTCTGGCGAGGGTGTTTGATAATTTTTTTCTCTAATATTTTTAAACCATCAAAATCGTTAAGAAGAGAGAACATATTCGCTGAATTCTAAAATTATTGACGTTTTTAATGGTACTAATTAGTCCTATAATTTAGTGTCAGCCTTAGGTTCTTGAAGTCCCTCTCCGGCTCGGGCATTTTTTTCTAAGTCACTTGACATTCTGAGGCTACTGAGGTTCTTTATGTAAATGCCAGAGAAACACTAGCAGCAATATTCTATACCAGTGGTTCTCAACCTTCCTAATGCGGCGACCTTTTAATACATTTCCTCATGTTACGACGACCAACAATCATTAAATTATTTTTGTTACTACTTTCATAAATATGCGTTTCCGCTAGCCTTAGGCGACCCCTGTATAAGGGTCGTTCGACCCCCAAAGGGGTCGCAACCAACAGTTTGAGAATAGGGGAGATATACATGTGCTTTTCTTATTATATTATAAACACATACACGTTTTTGTAAACACACATACCATTTTTTAATGTTACCCTTTTATACATTTACATTTCAAATAATAATGAAAGAAAAAACAAATTTTAAAATTGAAACATTATATGAAACACATAGACACGCACACATACACACGCAGACATACACACATAGCTTTACAGTTTCATAGACAAAATAAAAGATCAATAAAAATCATTTAATTAATTCTTTAATGTGTTTCCGTTTACAAAACCGACACATTTAAAGAAATTAAGCACACATAGTTTTATATTTTAAATATAAAATATCCTCATCGTCTTGTTTCATACAATTCATCCAATTTCCGTGGAATGGAAAGTTAAAGCATGGGGATCAGCCTGAAAATGACAATACAGCATGTAAACATCCTTTTATTATCTACATCATCATTGTGTATGTGTCTTCATGTCTTTACATACAAAGGTTTTTAAAAAAATCATATTTAGTTAAAGATCATGACTCTCGAAGTCGTAAGTACATTTAACCCGTCTGAAATAGAGCAAAACGAAAACTTTTTTAATGGGCACCTACCCACAAAACGTGTTACATTCAAAATCCAGGGATGCATTTTGGCGCATACCTCAATTAAGTTTTGCATCATTTTGCACTTTATCGGATAGCAGCATTAAATATATCAGTAAAAAAATTATGTTTCACTTGACCTTGCACTTGACCTTGTTGTGTTCATGCAAAGTAAATCCTTTATAATGTTTGTGTTTTTTTTTTGGTTTATCTTTCATATTCATATTTTTCATATTAAATAAAAGTTTTTAAAAATAATTTATTTTTAATAACCATATTTAGCTCTCTCTGTCTCTCTGTATGTCTCTCTCTCTCTCTCTCTCTCTCTCTCTCTATCTCTCTCTCTCTCTCTCTCTATATATATTTCTCTCTCTCTCTCTCTATCTGTCTCTCTCTCTCTCTCTCTCTCTCTCTCTCTCTCTCTCTCTCTCTCTCTCTATATATATATATATATATATATATATATATATATATATATATATATATATATATATATATATAAATGCTTGTAAATATAAAGCACATTATTTATAACTCTGATATTGAAAAAGAGGAGAGCGTATTTTAATAAAGATATTACAGGGCGCAAACTAAAATAAAACGTTTTAACAATTATTAAATCGATATGGTTTGGATTTTCTGTAGTATAGATATTTTATTTTTTGCATTTATTTATCTTAAATAGTAGGTGGGGCTAGTTCAAGTGTATTTTGTCTAACAAATTATAAAGGCTTAATATAAATAATTGTTTTATTGACATAAATCGTTTGAGTCTCATTAATCAAATATGTTTTCTTCTTTTGACAAGGTTGACAACATCTTTTTCTTTTTTGTTTTGGTATTACTATTATTATATGAGTTAGTATTTATTTAAACAAATTTTACTGTCCCGTGTAGGCCTATATGTCCACTAGATTTTCTGGACTCAAATAATGTTGGTATTGTTTTAAAAGAACATATGACATCACGGATTGCATGCAATAGGCCACAAACATAACATTAGAAACATTATTGGGATCTTAATATGGGACTTAATTCAAAACATGATATAGGAAATTATAACAGCAGATGAAGATGAATTTTTTAGATTAAGCCAGACATCACCCTCGGTAAGTAGGTTATCTGTTCTTTTATTTTTTATTGTTTCCTTTGTCGTCGTTCCCCCCCCCCCCCCAAAAAAAAAAAAAGAAACCCCCAAAAAAAAAAAGCGATTTCCTGAAATTATTGTGATCTGATTTTTTTAATTATTTAAATCATGTTGACTTTTAATGGACAATCTCAATTTAAAATAAAAACAGAATAAATTTAATTGAAAAAGTTTCGTTTCTAAAATAGGCTATATAATTAGATTTCTTGTTTTTTTATCTTTTTATTCTTTAAGTTAAATGTATCATTTAATTCTAATTAGCTACAAGCAGCTGACATATTTTTGTTTTATTTTGTTGTTTGTTTTTTGTTTTTTTCTTTTTTTTCCCTTTGTTTTCTGAGTAATGAAGAATTTGAAATTATCGTTTATTTGAAACTTAAATTATTAAGTTACACACTTTTAGTTGCAAATTTAACTATTGACCAGTAGTTCATATTTTTAAACGGAGTCTGCTCGAAATCCCTCCTAACATGTATGGATGGAACTTGAGTGTATGAATAAAAAAATTCCTTGAAGTCTATACATCACAGACAGTGGCGACGCCATCAAATTTAACATGGCGGGTCCCTTGCAGGTCTTTAAAAAATTTGGCGGGTCCCAAATAAATTCTCTTACATGTAATGTAGTTTACGCTTAATGAGGATATATTCAATATTAGTAACTAATAAAAAAAATGACCAGGTCATTTGCCAGGTCCCAAGTTTTTTGACCAGGTCCTGGGACCCGGCGGGACCTGGTGTAGCGTCGCCACTGATCACAGAATTGTCATGTTAAAACATTTCTTATGCTTGTTTTTTTTTTTAGTTTCATATTTCAACTTTTAATTCACATCAGATACTTCGATACACAGATGTGCACCGAATCATTATTTTTTGCCGTATGTATCCTTATGAAATGCTTACAGCTATTTGGTGAGATTATACCTCTGACAATAACAGCCGAGTGTAATCAACAGAGGTTAATTATGTCATTAAATAAATAGTCAGATACGTTGTTTGCTATGAGTGAAAAAAAGTTAAGGATTAAAGAATCAATTTAAATAATTTTATTAGTAGCGTGAAAAACCAAAGATTTGAGAATAAGTCGCTAACCATTTAAGCATTATCGGCATGTGCTTGTTGAGTCAGGAGAACGGCTGCACTGTGGGGGATACATAGAAAGAAATCTAGAATTTAAAAATAAAATTCAATTAATAACTAAACATTTGAGATATTTTCAATACTAAATAATGAGCAAAAATTACTGGGTTGGGGTCCACTCCCTAGAATCTCACACCTTACTCTAGCCCAGGCGATAATGCGCATACGATTTCTGCTTCTCTTTTGCAACCCACAAAGTCCTATTTCTAAGCATTCTCGTTGTTAGGAAGTAGCTTTTTCTTTTTCAAAAAATCGTATCAAATGGAACGATAATTTTTTGTTCACTGGCGTCGTCTCTCATAAATTACCTTCGAATTGAAGATATTACTGGGATTCGTAATCTTTTAGGGGTACCTTAAGCCCTCTCGTTTTTTAAGAAATTTCACGCCTCTTATTTGAGCTTATAAACTTTTCCAAAACCTGCCCTCAAGCCCACGGATACAATTATTGTAATAAAGTGTTAATAAAATATATCGGTTATTTTAGTTTTTCTTCTCTTGTTAACCTACAAATAGTGCGTAAAACTAAATTTGTCTTTGACATGTCTGCAGCTTCTAAAGAAAATACAAGTTAACCATTTTTTTCTGGGACTTCCAGCATCCCATGGCACTGCCCCGTGCAAACAAGGGGATGCGGCAATCCCTGGTTGAGAGCCCCCGAGATATTAGTTATTTTTTTAAAACTACCAATGTTACTATGAACTTAAGTGGGAAGGGTTAGATTTCAAGAGGGTCCCCTCTTCGGGATAACAAACTGTCAGTAAAACTCTAGACTGTCCGTAAAAAAATGACTCATTTAGAGCAAAAACCGTAGAAACCTAAAGATGTACGTAAATACAAGTGTATTTTTCTGTGTGTACTCATATTTGTTTATTCACATTCATCATTTATGGGCACATTGTACTAACTGTTTACCGGTACAAGACATATCCTACTCAGTAAGTTGATGATTTTTACTTATATTTCTTATTAAATTCATCTTATTAATTGTAATTAGTACTGTTTTGAGTGTCGTATATTTGCTATTGTATTTCTCTATGATATCGTCCTTCGTTGTGCAGTGTTTGAACAAGCCATTAAATTAAAATAACAGATTTAGTTCTCACTATAGAAGGCAGTGCGTAACGCCTATAAAATGTGGAGATTTAGAACACTTTTCCATTAAAGTTCTGTTACTGATTTGGCAACCCTGTCCCATGTGTTTCGATCTTGTTTTAGGAAATGATTGAATTATGGGTGGCACTAACATCAAAACTGCTGTGCACGTGGGGGCAAGAGTCCCGAGGAAAGTGCTGAGTTATTATCAGAACTAACCTCTACACAGCTGGGCAAGAGGGGCAACAATTTCCTGGCTTGGTCACGGGGTGGGCTTTGTTCTTACAATGTGGCCAGCCACACTGGATGGTATTGCAGATGGCCTTGTTGTTTTCATCACAGTAGCACGACGTGCAAGGGTTCTTCTGATAGCGTTGTCCTGGCTGAGTAGGAAATGGTCAACATGTTCAGAACTCAATTTGATTATTTGTAACTATATATACTAAAATTGAATAACATATCTCACTATTTTAAAACCTAATTTAGTATGAAATTTGTATTTATCGTATAGAATTAAATAGGAACGGTGAGTGAATAATTCGCTTGCCCGGTTTTATCTTGTACAGCAATTTCTTAAGGAAACGGAATGGGCCAGGGGTCTTTAAAATGAGAGACAGTTAAGAAGCTGATGCTTATTAACAAAATATCGGTCGTTACAAATTAGCGAGGCCCTAGTCTTTTTTTTAAGGAGTTGAAACTTTCTTGTCCAAATATGCACGAGATGTAAACTTAAATATTTTACAAAGCAAAAACTAAAAAAAAAAACGCAACTCTACTCCTTCTGCTATTATTTGTATCATAGCGAAACATTAAGTTTAAAGATTTAATTTGTCGCGGGATAGAATTTTATAATTTTCCAGCTTCGATTTCAATACCAAGTTATTTTGTCACGCTCTCTGAAATATGTTTCCCTGAGTTTAAATTTTTTTAGGCTTAGAGTAAAACTAGGCTCTCAATGTTGTTATCAAATTGTGTATTTTTAAAATATTAGAGAATCTGGTAACATGTCCACTACACTTGACTTAATAATTATTTCAATCGTTTTTATTTTCCAAATATCCTTTTAACTCTTTGTTCTGTTTCGCTGCTCTCATTCGGCCAATTTATTATGTTACAAAGTTATTTTTATTGATATTGAGAGTCATGCGAAGGAGGAGAAAAGGGATAACTCGCCGCGGGCGCCAAAATCAATGGTTGCCAAAATCATATGGAGATGGGACATTGGAAATGAATTAAACTATAGAATCACATGTACTTCTCAAAGATTAGGAGGGCGATTATTTTTTTTTTAACTGGTCGCCTGGCATTTAATCCATATATTGGACATTGCCATGCTTCGCATGGAGCGCCGCTTTTCCTCGGTACCACCCTGCTGACATAATACACTGATGGCTTACACTGTAATTGACACCTCTGTAGTGACAACACTCCATCGTCACGATAGATGCAACCACAAGCAGACAAGCCACGATGAATTTCGTCATGAGATCTGACAAAAGTTGGCCTTGGTGAAACTCTATCATGAGAATTATTTTTTTTAAAGACAAATCAATCATTAGTCAAATGATAATTGGTTTAGAATCAAAACTTAGCTATCAAATTAAATAGTTACGATTTACCATGGCTGAATGCTAACCACTTCAAATGTATTTTCAATGTTGGTTATAAGAGCACGCTGTTTATAAAGTCTAGTTTAGAATAAGAGATTTGTAATTGAGCTTAAGATAGAAATGATATTAATTAGTGAAAACACTTACCACAGATTGTTATGAGAATGCCACTTTTAAATCACTGGACATGCGATGTTTAAAGAAACGAAACTTAAAAGCTGGAAATAACAGAACGGTTGTGGAACAGTTAAAAGAGAATAATCTTCTTCTTTTTTTTTTACAGGTAAACGTTACAGACTGTTAAAATACCTACCTGAGTAAGCGTCTCTAAACTAATTCAAACTGTTTCAAGTTGACAGCCACTTTTCTATCTATGACGGCTTGACATTTAGAACTGGAGCTGCTTGTGTGGTTACATCACGTGGTCTAATTTTTTTTTTTTTTTTTTTTTTTTTTTTTTTTTTTTTTTTTTTTTTTCTAAACTAATTCAAACTGTTTCAAGTTGACAGCCACTTTTCTATCTATGACGGCTTGACATTCAGAACTGGAGCTGCTTGTGTGGTTACATCACGTGGTCTAATTTTTTTTTTTTTTTTTTTTTTTTTTTTTTTTTTTTTTTTTTTTTTGTGATTGTCTTTGTTGAGCGGGAGTTAGACCACAAGGGTCTCAATTGATGCCAACTGCATGTCAACGTTAAGATCACTTGTGCCATGGCCCTTTCATTGTATAATGACATGAGCAGCGACATGCAGCCAGGCAGGTTGACTGACAGAAAAAGGAACTAGGAGAGACAAAGGGCTTACTTAGCTACGTCAGGGAGGTTACGTAAGTGCTTTATGTATGCTAATGGGTTGAGAGACGCATGTATGAGAATTCATTTTGGTATACGGGCGTTATGTCACAGGATTTTGCAACGACACAGAGACAGCCCCCACACCCCACCCGTTTTCCTTTTATTGTTAAAGACCAAATTTTGAATTGTTTTTTTTTTTTTTTTTTTTATGAGAGGAGAGTGGGGGTTTCTCTTTTAGAAAGGAAACATGGCGTGACTTCTTCACAGTAGCGAAACGACTGGGGGGGGGGAGGCTGAAGTGGCGGCACTTTACGAGGGTTTGTGGCATTTTTTTAAACCTTAAATGTTACTTCCTTTTTTTTTCAAAATCTGTATAATGATAAACTTATCACTCAGGGATTTTTTTATCGCCTTTTTCAAATCTGGACAATGTCACAGTCTGTGAGAATCAAAAACTCCAGTGTAAAAGTATTATCACCGCATACATTGTTTAGTTTTCATTAATGAAGGACTGCGTCCAAGGTGTATGAAGGAAATAGAAGAACAAGGTATTTGGAAGCTTTGGGATAGAAGGACAGAAGAATAAATGACGAACGTTTCGTCCAAGATCCCTTCTCAGCAGACAGGACAAATTAAGAAATAGTAAGTAAGTAATTTTTTTTTTAAAATAACTTAAGTTGTCACCTTTATGTCATAGCCCAAATTTTGGTTATTCAAAGATCACGATTACAGATAGCACAAATAATTTATGTATAATTGTTGTCTAAAAAAAGATTTTAACGAACAAAAATATTTTGGAAATATGTAAAATAGTATAATTAAGAAAAAGAAACGCAAGGAAATTGAGGATCATTAGTACGAGGGAAATTGATTAATTTGATATGGTAAAATTGTACCAAAATACTGAATTAATTTGTTTTTCTTTATAACTCTAACTGGTGTGTTAGTGCAGGAAGTCAGTGCCGTGATAGAAATATCTGATTTCCTTTTTTTTGTTTATCGTCCTGTCCAGTATCACCAAGATGTTCAGTGAACCTATCCGATAACCTACTTCCATTTTCACCTATATAACGGGAGGCATCTTCGGCACACAATCGTTTTATCTACGAAAAATCAGTACAATTTTCAGAATGGTACCTACCCTGTGACAGAGGCGTAGTGAGAGTGTTTGGTGCCGGGGAACAAGATTCGCGCCCGGGGACAAGATTTATTTTAAAACGCCCGCTTTTCTTTTTTCAACTCTCAAACCCATTATTTTAATCAATAAAATAATAACAAAGCACATTTTGGCGCCCCTAACTAGCTGGCGCCCGGGGAGATTTGTCCCTCTCGTGCCCTCCCCCCTTAGCTACGCCTCTGTCATCGGTAGGGGGTAGAATTTGAGGGTCTCAAAGGCTCCAAAGCAAAAATTTCACAAACCCTCTCAAAGTGACGCCCCCAACACACCCACCCAATCAGCTCGCTACTAAAGAAGCCACCCCCCCCCCAACCATAATATACATTTAAAATCAAGGCACATCCAAAAGTCACCGTTGTTTTAAGACAATAAAATAGATGAGGGGATTTTATTTTCTGTCGTCTGTTAGCAGGAGCGCTATCGGAGCTAAAATTAGGCATTATGAAAACAAGCGTCATGCACAACATGAAATCACTCCCGGTTTTGGTGCACCCTTGGGTATGGTTCGGCCCCAGGTTAGTTTCGCACCGTCCAGGCAATTTGATTGGCGTGGTGGTGTGAAGCAGTAAATGAAGGCGCCAAAGAGTCCCGAGAGAAGGCAGGGTGTGGACGATGTTCCTGACAAGCGGCTCAATGAATTTCCCATGTTTGAAGCAGGTTATTAGGAAAGCCTGTTTCAGCAACCCAGCCAGGGGCATCTACTCAGGGGGGGGGGGGGGAGAGAGCAGTTATTGTCTAATCTTTATATATATATATATATATATATATATATATATATATATATATATATTTTAATTTTTTATATTTTGTGTGAGAGAGCATATATTGTATTATCTTTATATATATATATATATATATATATATATATATATATATATATACTTTAATTTCTTATATTTATGAGAGATCTGCTTTCGTCCGCACACTTATTTCAGTAACTACTATTTCGGAGTTTCCCAAAGCGATTGTGGTGCTAAAAGTATTGCATTCTTTTCACAAAATAACAACGAATCACTTTTATGGTTCTGTATGAGGCACATACACTTCTGTTGTTTATGGGGTCGATCGAAATTCATTAAAATGCCATGCCGACTCGCCGCCAGTTCGCAAACCCCTGATCACTGCCCCACCCCTTTACAGCCAACATCGTCACGGGGGACAGTATTGAACTCCATTGAAAATGTTTCTGTATCCACCGTCGAATGATATAATTATGCAACATTCCTAGATTTTATCTTCACGTCGTGTTTGCCTCCACCCTGCTGGGGACACTCGCGGGCAGCAACAATACTGTTCCGATCATCCTGATCAACGTTTCATCGGCTGTTCCCAGATTCTTCCCATCTCTTTTTTTTTCATATGTAGCACATTCAACAGATTTTGGCATGCACCAATATGCTTCATACGTTCTCAAGTTAGGAACTCAATCCATCTTCTCCGGGTACAAGTTGCAGTTGTTGTTTAATTTATTTTTTTTAAAATAATAATATTTCACTGAACTCTTGCAAAGTCAATATTTCGAGACAATTAAAATATTTTTTTTCCAACTTTTAGCTGATCAGAAGGCACACAAACAGATGAATACTTCGGGTATAAAAAAATATAGCGTTACAAGAAAATGAACTAAAAGTTAAATAAAAAAAAGTAAACAGAGTCCTAAAACATGAGTAGTACTACTAAATGCACGAAATAAAAAAAAAAATTAAAAAAAGATCATACATGATTGTATACAATTTATTTTTATTTGATGTTACATTTTTTTTAGATAAACAATAATTACTTTTCCCAAGTTGATGGTTAGACTATGGTCGACACCATGGCATTATAAACGCCCTGAGGTGGCGCGTCTCAGAGGGTCTCATGATGAATCATTAAAACTGATCAAGGGCAAAACAGAACAAAGCAATAGCGAAACTGTGACCAAAATAAAAATCTTTTGAGGAGACTTTTTTTCTTTCTGTAGATTTAGACATCGAAACAGTTTCAACGAACCAAGAACAAGTGAAATTTGGAGTGCCATGGAAAGCGTTAGGATGGTAAAACCAGTCTGTGGAACAATCAAAATATACATGGAAATAAGTAGGAAACATTGCAATTTTTTAATGAGAATTCTGATAATTAATTTTACAATTATAATAGCAAAAAGAGCAAAACGAAAATACAAAGGAAACAAGCAGTCGAGGTCAAGGTTCTATCACGATCAGTGCAGCCGAACCTCAAACTTAATGTTTTTAACTACTAAAATGTAATTAGAAATTACAAAAATGATTATCAAAAGATATCTTTAATCATTTTAAGCTTTCAAATGTTTAGGGACAATCAAAATTGTGTGGCAACATAGCTTGTATAAGAGTCAGTCAGGATTGTAGATGTAAAAATATAACAAACTAAAGAAATTATTTACAAGTTTTGAGGCGCCGAGAAAATCAAAAACACCTGCTCCAAACGTGCAATCCAAATTCGTTATTTTAAAACTATATAGAGACCGTGTTGAGTTTCTCATGATATTGCCAATTCAATATTGTCTACAATACAATCATAAATGGTAAACAACATGTATAAAAAAATCAGAATGTGCTGCTCATTCTGATTTTTTTATAAATGGTAAACAACATGTATAAAAAAATCAGAATGAGCAGCACTTGTAAAAAAAAAAAAAAAAAAAAAAAGAAAATAATACAATAATAAAAGGAAAACAAAATGTAAAAAAAAATCAGAATGAGAAACAATAGTAAAAAAAAAAAAAAAAAACGAATGAAAATATTCAAAAATTAACACTACGTACTAAATGGACGCCCCCCTAACATAAACTGAACACTTACTGGATGACCCCCCTAACATGAACTGAACACTTTTTGGATGACCCCCCTAACATAAACTGAACACTTACTGGATGACCCCCCTAACATGAACTGAACACTTTTTGGATGACCCCCCTAACATGAACTGAACACTTTTTGGATGACCCCCCTAACATGAACTGAACACTTACTGGATTCAAGGGAAATCAAATAGATATATCAAATAGGTAAATCAAACAGGAATATCCAATAGATTTATCAAATATTTCAATCCAATAGATATATAAATAAGTAAGTGTATTAAATAGTTATATCAAATAGGTTAATAACATAGACCTAAATACCACCGTTGAGAAACTATGTGTAAAAGAATTAAAAGATATTGGGTTGTTTAGTCTAGTAAATGTAATATACTAAGATAACTGCTCAACTAACCTGGGGACCCCAAGGCGTTTATAATGCTAGGGATTGATGCATAGCAATTTTTCTCTTTTGCTGATACCAAAGGGGCACAAACTGACGTCTTTTAAATCGAAGAAGTTTGCCGTAGGGAACCTGAAAATCTTGCAGAGCAGGTAATGGGGGTAAAACTTTATCTGGTCCACCTGAAAAAAGATTTGTTGAAACCCGTTAAAAAGAGCAGACTTATAAAATTTGAAATGAGTAAAACAAAGTATGGTCAAACCTGAAAGAAAAAACAAACGGAACGTAACAACGAACGTGTTGGCAGGAAGCCTTCGTCGACAAAGACCAGAAAAAATATAACAAAATAAAATAATACATCAAAATAAGAAAAAAAAAGGGAGGTGATAAGACGGTAGCATTCAATAAGCAGCAGTCAAGTAGTAAATTTAAATTAATGGTCATAAGGGGAGAGAATGCAATCGGGTTAGCAAAATAGGAAATGAGTAAATCAAAGTTTGGTCAAACCTGAAAAAGGGAACGCAGCACAACAACGAACGAATTTAACTTGATTAGTGATGCAAAGTAATAATAAAAAACAAAATATTTAAAAAACAAAACAAAACAATTCTGTAGAACTTACCTGCAGGCAGCTATCCACGTTTCTTTTTATTCTCACGCACTTATTATGTGCGACTCCGCTGGACTCTATGCATTTAATGAAATCGCCAAAGTCAACCGGGGACCCGTTTCTCCTTAATTTGTTAAGGACAGTTAGAAATTCCAGTCGCTCCCTTTCTGTGATCTTTGAGCCGTGAACAAGAAAAAGAAAAAAAACATTACTTTTTTTACTTCCTAAATTACATTAGGCATGGGCACCCGCAGAAAACTTTCTAGGGGGGGGGGCAAAAAAAAATCAATTAACTTTCCAGGAGGGGGGCAAAAAATTTTTAGTAATGTTTTAATATAGTTTTAATTTACTGTAGCATATTTGTATGGTGAACGAACGGACAGGACATCAGCTTAGTTACTGTCTCTTTATTTTCTCTTTATTTTAATAAATTTTTTGTCTATTTTTGTCTAAAAATTTTTATCCAATCAATCGGGGGGGGGGGCAAGTGCCCCACCTTGCCACTACCTGCGGGCGCCCATGACATTAGGTGTTAAAAGTAGCTATACGGTACTGAAACTTTCCTTCAAGGAGAGAACAATTTTAAAACACAACTGCCCGACACATAATCTTTTTTTTTTTTTCACTTCTATGGTCACAAGGCAGCTGAAGTCATACACATTTAACACACACAATCCTTGCCACTACCTGCGGGCGCCCATGACATTAGGTGTTAAAAGTAGCTATACGGTACTGAAACTTTCCTTCAAGGAGAGAACAATTTTAAAACACAACTGCCCGACACATAATCTTTTTTTTTTTCACTTCTATGGTCACTAGGCAGCTGAAGTCATACACAGTTAACACACACAAGTTCGTGTACTAATATGCGAGAGTTTCATTGTCATTACTGCAAGTTGTGGCGCATGGTTTACAACAATTTTACTGCTAGCCAATAAGGTAGTCAAAATATGGACATTAGGGAAACGCATGACTACCAGAAAGGGAAATGGATTTTACGAAGACATGGCGTAAAAAATTTTTAACGGCCATGGTCTACTGCTCCTAAAAAACATGCGCACGAGAAATGACCTCAGTGTCGCCAACACACTCTACCGCCTCGCTACGCGAAATAAGACGTCCAGGGTGCAATAATATAGAACTGGGAGGTCACACGTGTACTCATCGTTCGCGTCCACAGGATGAGCAACATTTTATTGGACATATGATACCGACCCAAAATAACTTACATCGCTGATCCTGTACTTCAAAAGTTTTTTCGCTAACTCATCCATTTGATCTGCTAGGAAGTCATTAGCCATTGTGATATCTTGCAGTGAAGTGCCCCTTTGGTATCAGCAATTATTCAAGACGGATGCACCAAATTTCAACCACCACAACAGACGCAGTCTTTAAACTCAGCTCATAGGAAATTCCCATTTTGGAGACCTCCGTGGTGAAAGAAAAAATGCGAAAAGTGCGTGGTCTGGTATTGAAGATGAGTTTGAGTGATCAGTTTGAGTGATCAGTTTGAGTGATCAGTTTGAGTGATCAGTTTGAGTGATCAGTTTGAGTGATCAGTTTGAGTGATCAGTTTGAGTGATCAGTTTGAGTGATCAGTTTGAGTGATCAGTTTGAGCAAGCTCCAAAAAATACATAAAGTGTGTGTGTGGAGAAAAAAAAAAGGGGGGGGGTGCAATTACACGTCTGAGTCTCGTTTCAAAGCAAAACTTTAAAAATCGTGATAGTCTTTCTCACAAAAATACCCCACGCATTTTAAGGGTGAGCGTGGTGAATGGTCTCACTTTTTATATTTTAATCCGCTATTTATTGAATTTAGAATAAAAAGGAGTCACATTTTACTCAGATGTAATTAATTCATCTACTGTTATTATGGCAGTGACTACATTTGGCATCGGCGGCTGCCTAGAGGGGGCATTTTTGCAAGGGGCGGGAACATATTTTATGTTTGTTAAAAACAAAAACCATACAGCTAAGATATCGCCAGAAACAGAATGCGAATTAATCAATTTGATCCAATATCGTAACCCACAAAAGAATTTTAAATTTAAAAAAAACAACATATTTTCGGCTGACGCAGTTCATTTAATTTTATGATCTAATTTGCCATCTACATCATCTGACTGTGGCTAATTTTGGATGTTTTACGACATTATAAACAAACTAAAGAAATTTGATTTTTAAAAAAAAATTAAGTCTCCAAACAGTGCATGGACATCCAATTAGCTTAAGCATCTGAATACGAAGATTCAACTGCACATGCGTCGGAAATGAGGGTGTGGGTGGGGCAGGTCCGTCTTAACAGAGGGGGCCGTGGGAAAAGTTGTGTACTGCAGCCCCTTGTTCATCACTATCCCATTACAGTAATGTTTTGAAAAGCATTTGGAGCCCAGATTGGACCATGCGTTTTCAACATTGTTTTTTTTTCTTCTTTTGTTTAGACGATTTCAGGGTTTAGGGTAATGGGACCATTCCGTGAGAGGGAAGAGGGGGGGGGGGCAGGGCATCTAAGGGCATCTATTAACGCGACATTAGGCATGATGTCACACAGGACCAGCTCCCACCATACATAAACATTAATTCTTTCCGGTTGTGGCGCCTCCCCCACCGATTGTATGCTTTTTGCCTCAGTTTAGTTACACCCCTTGAATCTATAAATTTCAACTATATATATATATATATATATATATATATATATATATATATATAAAGTATATATATACCACCGGGATCGGAATACCAACTGGATCAAAATACCACCGGGATCGGAAACCTTTCGGGAAACAGGATCGTGGTTCACCCGGGATCGATATCCAATGGGGAGCGTGAACCCACCAGTATCGGGATCCCACCGGGATCGGAAAATAGACAGCATCGGGACCCCACCGGAATTTTGATCCAGGTGGCTCGGGATCCCACCTGGATCAGGATCCCACCGAGATCAGGATCCCATCTGAATCAAGATCCCATCGAGATGTGGGGTCGAGATCCTTCAGGGTACCAGGATACCATCGGAGAACGAGACCCCATCGAGTAACGGGATCCGATTGAGTTCTCTCTGGGATCAGGATTCAATTGGGGAACGAAAGTTTTACAAAAATTACTATAAATGTGATTTTATAAAGGCATTTATTTTGCTTACTATAAGGATGTTTTTGTAAAAAAATTTTGCTGTACAATGTGCTTAATTTTAATGTTATCTAAGAGGATGTAGTAGTTTGTTTTTTTTCCGACGCAATCCCGTAAACGCCAGGTATATTGGCTAGATATGTGTATATATATAATATACACATTAAACTCATATATATATATATATATTATAAGTGGAAGATGTAAGGCTTTTAACTGGACTGTGTGACAAACGTTGTTTTAACAAAATATTTTAACAAGTCTAGCTTTTATATATTTTTTTTTTAAATTTGGCAGGCAATTAAATTTCAGAAGTCTAATTAATCTAGACTACATTTTAACAATTTTTTTTTTTTAAATTCTAATTTTATGTATTGTTCAAAGATATCCGGTACTTGCACTTCTTGATTTTCTGATCTGCTTTCCCATCATTCTTATTTCCTATTTGTTTTTTTGTTTGTTTTTTTTTTGTTTTTTTTATTCAAAATAATTCAATACATATATAGTCTACATATACAGAGTAAAACTAAAATAATGACAGGCAAATCTTTTAAAGTTTGAACTAAACAAAATGTTAACATTATAATAGAGTGTACTAAATTAAACATTTGTGTAAATTACTAATTTTTTAACTTGATGTCTAAATGAGTTGGAATGATAAACTATGAATGTATTATTTGTCATAATATTTCTTAGCATATGTTTTGAATTATGTTTTGTATTTTAAATCTAAAAAGTGTTTCTAATGTAATGTCTGTGTAATTATGTTTGTGGAAAAAAGCCTTAAGTCTGTGGTGCCATACATGTTTTCTGTATTGTGAAAGTAATATCAGACTTATTGTGTGTTGTTTCTTGTTTATTGATGCTGGTATTGTGTTTAATGTTATAGCTCTGTCTATATCTACAGGGTGAACTGTACATGCTTGTATGATTTGTTTAAGTGTAGATTTAGTCTGCAATATTGTGTTGCACGTCAGATATAAATGTTGTTCTGTCTCATCAGCCCCCGTCCTGCAGAGGGGACATTCCATGTTGCTAACCCTGTCCTTGTATGGTCTTGACGATACTGGTGTCATGTTGTATATGAGTCTATATGTTATTTCTTTGTCTTTATTTTCGACTTCTTTAATGTGTGTGTTTTTAAATGTATTCTTAGTGTTTATTGTTCCATAAACATGTGTACATTTTATCCTATTGTAGAGTGGTGTTGCTTGTTTCTTTATTAAATGTGTGTAAATTTCTTTAGTTGTCTTGTGTATAAGTGTTTCGTTGCCTTTTAATGCTTGAATGCATGCCATATGAAAATCCGATTGTTTTCTTCCCATGTAATGGGGTGTGTTGTTATCAATTTTTATTAACTGTCCTAGCCTTATCCCAATGTAATAATGTGTAAATAAATTTTCCTCCTTCTTTCTAATGGCTTGTCCTATAAATTTAATTCTAAGTGCTTTCAGTTTTGTTTGTATGTCTTGTAAATTAATCCCCCCTTCTAGTTTAGATTGGATTAAAGTTGTATTTTTAATGTTTTGTATTGTTCCTTGAAATATGTAATTCCTGATGTGTAAGTTTATTTGTCTTAAAATGGTTGGTGGAGGTCCCCATATGTTCCCTGTGTATATTGTTTTAGGAATTACATATGTGTTTATGATTGTGCTCCGGCCAAAAATTGAGTGTGCTGTGTATTTATGTCTGTCAATTATCTTTTTTATTGATTTTTCAATGTTTTGCCATGTTTCTGTGTTAGTTTGAGTCTGTTTGTTTGAAAAATAAATGCCATATATCCTAAGACTTTCTTTCCTTACGATTTCTAAAGGGAAATCTAGTCTATCTTTCCACTTACCTATCCCCATAATTTCAGATTTAGCTATGTTTATTTTAGACCCACTACCTCTTCCAAATTCTTGAAATATTGATATTATTTTTGAAATAGACTTATCATCAATAGGAAAAAAAATTGTGTCATCTGCATATGCAATGACTTTCGTTTCATTACCTCCAGGGATCCTTACTCCTTTAATACTCTCCTCCCTTCTAATGCTCTCTAACAAAGGTTCAAAGGATAGGATATAAAGGTAAGGGGAAAGGGGACACCCTTGTCTAACTGATCTGTCAATTTTAATGTCTTTAGAAAGTGTGTTGTTAATTATAAGATTACTAATGGGGGACTTGTATAAAATGTTAACCCAATTACAAAAATAATCTCCTAGTTTGTTGTGTTGTAATATTTTATGTAGGTATTTATGGTCTACCCTATCAAAGGCTTTTTCTTGGTCTAGAGATAATATGCAAGTTTGGATGTTTTTGTCATTTGAATATTGAATAATGTCTCTAATGAAATGATTGTGGTTCTGGATGTCCCTCCCTTTGATGCTGCATTGTTGGTTTATATGTATTAAAGTATTTAAATGTGGTTTTAATTTATTTGCTAGAGTTTTTGTGAGAATTTTATAGTCTGTGTTAAGTAAAGATATGGGTCTGTAATTTTTAAGTTGTGTTCGGTCTGTATCTTTTTTTGGTAAAAGCGTTACGTATGAAGTATTCATTGAATGTGGTAACTCATTGTTGATGTAAGCTTCTTCTAGTGTGGCATGTAAAATTGGTCCAAGTTCTGTGAAAAAGAAAAGGTAGAATTCTGTTGTAAGGCCATCTGGCCCTGGTGTTTTATTTTTGTTCATGCTGGACAGGGATGTTTTAATGTCTACTAATGTAATAGTTTTGTCCATTTCTTGTGTTTGAATTTTATTTAGCTTTTGTGTAAATTGTGTGTACGAATCTTGTATATCTGATTCAATTTTCTCTGTTCCAAAAAGTTGTGTGTAGTATTTTTCAAATGTGCTTACGATATTTGGCGTCTCAGTGTGTGTTTCCCCAATTGTGTCAACGATCTGTCCTATCTGTCTACTTTTTTGTATGTTTTGTTCTATTGTTAGAAAGATTTTTGTAGGTGCCTCTTGATTGTTAGTGAAAGTTCTACTCCTAACATGTGCCCCATTGTATTTATTTTGTTTAATTTTTTCTAGTTCTTCTTCAAATGCTTGTATATGGGGGCTGAAAGGGTTTGTTGCTTTCTCTGATGGTATGAGTATTTCTAATTCTTTTTCTCTTTCTCTGAGTTGTCTGTGTAAGCTTGTTGCAAAGTTTTGTGTGATATGTTTGATGGTGGATTTTAAAAGTTCCCAGTGTTGTCCTATGTCAGTTTTGGGTAGTGTGCTA